TCATACAAGTGCAAATCACATATGTTCTAATAAATTATATTCAGTAGCGATTTTAATTGAATATTTTGATTATTTATTTATTTTTTCAAATTAAAACTGAACTTTATTGACTGTGTTCTTTTCCAGACTTTTTATTAATTTATTGTTATTAATTATTTGCATGCAATTAAAAACTAATTTTAAACGATGCCAAAGAAGGATAACTTCTCACGCGCCTACATAAGTACACGCACCCATTTTTTTTTATCAAGCTTGGCTAGGGTGACTTTAGACCTAGATATTCATGATATTATTAAATTACCAATCAATTTTATAGTTGTGCGAACGCAGATTCATTATTAACATTATTGTACACCGCTACAAAATCTTTCCTTCATTAGTATGTCGCATTGCATTTTTGATTGTTATTAAGAAAATCATACTTTATCAACAAGCAGGTTCAGTGGTAGAAAACTTCCCTGCTAAGCGCGTTGCCAGGGTTCGAATCCCAGCCGACGAAGGTCTTTTTAATTAATGATTTTAAAATTTCACTTGTATCGTGGTTTCTTAAAATCACACCAAAAATTTATTTATGGTAGGTACGTTATATCAATTTATTAATTATTTAAATCTATTATTGTTAATATATTTAATTATATTTATTAAAATTTAAGAAAAATGCCTACATTCCTGAATTATTATCAATAAATAAATACGCATGCACACATGCACCAAAAATGGCTTCACGGATGGCCCTCATCAATTTGCATTTGATAACAAACACAGGTATACGAGATACTGAGAGCTGGGCAATATAGCAAGCGTGTGTGGAATGATAATTTTATTGTGCAAGCAAGTGTATAATATTTCTTTTCCTTTCGGGGCTCCGGAAGTAGCGATGTAGCCTTATGGTAATGTCATTTCGTATGCATAAAGACCGCCACAGATGTCAATAACATCTATCTATCTTTATCAATAAATAATTTTTGAATCCCAAACATGTAAGTCTCCAAATATTCCATTATACGATTTAGCTGGCAATTAATGTTAGTACCCAGTACCCATATAAGGCTTGATATTTCGGCAGGCATTAGTTAAAACTAGGGAATGCAATCTCGCAATATTATTTCATTCCCAGTATTTGTGGGATTGAACAATCAATCTTAATCCCGCTGGATGCCGGTATTAGCGAGATCCGCAGAGTTAACTTAATTTTTGAAATCAGTCGTTATAAAAACCGATACACTTCGTTTTCATGGTTTTAATTGTGACCCAAATTAAACAGAGCATTTTTGAAATATTCATACCTTCTGTACGGGATTGTCCGAGATATAGGTTAGCAGTCATTCGGCTGTATAACAGTTCTATTATCAATACCTATGAGTTTTAGCCTGACCGAGCCAGACCGAAGCGAGTTATGGACAAAACAAACTTTTTCACACATTTGAAACTCTTCACGCTTAAACTGCTAAACTGATTTGAATGAAATTTGGTAGAGATATAGTTTTAGTTCCGGGAAAGGACATAGGATAGTTATTATCCTAAAAATCATTGTTCAAGGAGGTGGAAAAGGGTGGGGGTGGAAGTTTTTATGGAAAACCAGTATTACCACGCAGACGAATTTGCTAGCAGTTAAATGCTTAAAATTATAGATGCTACCGGCAATCTGTATAATTCGGATTTCTATAAATACTTAGGTAATATATAGAATGCCAGAAACGTCAAGGCAATGTTAGAAATATTATTCATTTTATACTTTGCCTAGGTATTCTATACAATGCCGACTGGGCAGTCGTCACTGTTTGCAAAATAAGATAGTATGTACTTTATTTGGACAAAAAAAAGGTGGCACCCTAGTCACAACACTAAGTAAAAGTTCCGGGAAAGGACATAGGATAGTTATTATCCTAAAAATCATTGTTCAAGGAAGTGGAAAAGGGTGGGGGTGGAAGTTTTTATGGAAAACCAGTATTACCACGCAGACGAATTTGCGGCCTCCCACTAGTAAAATATATTTATAAAAAATATGTAAAGGAGGAATTATATAAATCAATTTATGTCCATATGCACTGCGCGTAGAATAACGTGTACGAAACACGCTTCTTTGCAATCCCACCAATCTAACAGGATCGCCACTTTTGGACCAAGATTAGTCCCGCAAAACATATGCGGGATCCCGGTATTGCATTCCCTAGTTAACACGATATGAATGAATGAATACCTAGTATGATGGAGGCCGAGCCTAGCACAAAATTGTAGAGAAGTACTTAGACGAAGTCAGTATTGGTGTTTGACTCATGAAATCATGTTCATGCCGATGGCATACCATTAATTTTATTGCACTATCCACCATAAACTTTACTGCAATACTTTCTTTTCTAAAGATAAAATGCATATATTCAAAATTTCACACGGAATCAGGAATAACAAGCAAATAGGGATTGAATTAAGGGGTAGAAGTTCTAAGTGTTATTGAGTTACCTACCTAAGGTACAAAATAAAATAACTAACACAATTGACAACTGGAGATACAGAGTAGCAATGGCTATGGCTATGCAGATCCACGTGGTCGGGAATTAAGTTTACGCTTACAAGCTTTCAGTACCTATAAAACAAGGCGCGGCCGAGGCTGTTTACTTCTCCACCGTATCTTCAAAACTGCTACTTCATTTGCTGACCATAAATAAAAATAATTGTACAAAGATTTTTTTTCTGCTTGCCAGATTTCTGATAGGGTTTTATCAAGTCCAATATACTCCCTTTCATAAACAAACCGTACACTATGACGTTCATAGTTTCTGAGATCTTTTGAAAGAAATGTATTTTATATCGCCCATCCTAGCCATGACAGCTAGTGCTATAACGTATTTAATTATGAGCGTGATTACATGTCCGTGAAACTCTTTCATGTAGATTGTAGGCAAATAATAACTGGGAATTCATAACAACAATTTTCATATGAAACGAGTTTTTATTTTTAAATGGTAATTGAAAAACAACGTAATGGCTCGGCTGCACAGAACACTCACCATAGAAAATAGACGTTTGAGATACCCAGACAAGACGATGTGATATTTAATTTATGGTCCCCTCCCTACTCTCTCTACCCCGTCTCCTTTACCCTATGGAGATTTAGCACTTGATCATGACAGAGACACACCTTTCAGTTGTATCACCACATAGCATAAATTGGTGTGGATACTTATTACTTTCAGCAACAGCATAACAGCGCCACCATCTCTTGTCGCCTCGTCAATATAATCATAATACTTTATTGTACTCTACTAATTTTGTATATTAGGTAAATGAGGATGATGTTTTACGCTTAAGCTAAAGAATTCAGTACCTGCAGTCTTTAGTACGAGTACATCCATCTAGCTGAAACGATAGAATCACGGCTATGTGGGCAGAACACAAAAAGTAGGTATTTATTACCTTCTTCGTTTTTGTGATTTGGTAGTCCCTCCCCTACGTCTTTAATGTTTTTTGATTGGTGCAGGCGGCCTATTTTTTCATCTGCCGTAATTTTCTAGGTCTTTATACATTTTTCATCTTTCTGCAAGCTTCCTGCTAATATTCATGTTCATTGAATTCTGACAAAAATACCGTAAATCGCTTCCCTTATCTTCAAACAAACACATTTTCATGCGAGTGTCCGTCGGTGATGACGTCCCGACGCACAGACCGACCGACAGACAGATGATTTATTATGTTTATGCACCGCGTCTCGCTCGAAAACGTTCCCCGGTAGAACATAAACAATTTAAATTGTTCGCTGCCTCTGGCGAACCAGACGGCTCGTGAAATTGGCGCGCGTTTGAAGGTTAAATCTAGCCGATATAATAATCAAAAGTTGTTTGTATTTTAGCACCCGAGTAGGTTTAGTTATGTGTAAAGCTTCCTGGAAATTCCCACTAAACTGAACAAACAACGTGTAGTAGGTACCTTAATATTTTTTTATAAAGACTACCTAGCTACGCTACTAACGCTTATGGCTGATTTTTTATTGAGCCTTATTACGTTGTAATAAGTGTGAATATTCTGCAAGGCCACTACTCTTTGACGACCTCCGTGGCCGAGTGGTTTGTACGCTGGGTTTCAAGGTGTCGCCTACTCGAGAGGTCTCGGGTTCGAATCCCGGTGTTTGTGTGAAGAATACGAACATTTATACTCCATATATTGTTTTAAACTTTCATGGTCACTAACATTATAGTAATATAAGTTATTTACGGGATTATTACCATGTACCTTGTTTTTAGCGAGTTTCCGATATTTCGGCACTGTTGCAAGTGATCACAGAGTAACTGAAGTAATTGCAGGTAGACTGTTGTTGGCAGACATATCGCACAATTCACATTCTCACTATTCACTCGAAACTGTTCTCGATACACGATACTTTTTTGATTATCATCAACGTTACTAATAAACATAAATGCCTATAATACAAATCCAACGATTCCTATTTTGTGATAAGCATCCCGTGTTCTGTATAGTATAGTTTACGATAGTCCGTACTATCTCTTCCTTATTTTGATTGCCTTGAGATTCTAAGTAAGGTACGTGAGCTGGAATAATACCAGTTAGCTGAAGTCTGCTTTGCGATTCCATGCGCACCGTTCACAACCCTATAAATTCAAATATGGTGACTACAAAACCGCAATTAGCATCGTCAACTGTATTGGTATACTTTTATGTATCGGCTATACAAGATATAATAATCTCATTCAATTGGATAGACTGCAGTGCAGTTTAGCAGAAAATTATAGGTAGGTACGTAGTTGTTGTATGAAAAAAAATGCTTGAATTGCATTTTTTAATACATTATTAACAAATAGGACAATTAAAGTAAATGGGCCCATAATCGAATTGAGTGTAATAAAATAATGATTTCGAGTGTAACACAGATCACCCCTGTGGCGTTCGAATCCTACTACCGTTTGCCGTCTATCAATTTAAAGTCAATGACTTAACAATGAAAACAAACCATAAAAAATATTAATAGGATATGTTATTGTTTACAGGTCCAGCTGCTGTGAAAAAAGGATTGGGCAACGTTTACACTCAAGAGAAACATCCGCCATTATAATCTCGAAAGTAGACGCCTCTAGCAAAGTACAAATTGAATTCTTCTAAAGAACCTCGCCTATCACCGAGAGATTTTAATAAACGATTATATTTTATTTTGTTTAAAAATAAATATTAACAGTATTCTGATGTTAATTTCATCTGCATGGAAAAAATCCTATTCAAACTGCTATCCTCTTTTCACCTCCCAAATGATGTTTTCTGTTATAAAAACGATAAAAGTTATGATCTTTCCCGGGACTCAAACTACATCTATACCAAATTCATCTAAAACGGTTTTGCAGTTTAAGCGTGAAGAGGTAATAGAAAGACGCACTTTCTATCCGCGTTATAGTTAGTTTTTTGAGAGTCCCACAGGAACCTAATTTTTTTCCAGAATAAATGTATACTGTCTCAATCCTGGTACTTGGCCACATACAATAAACGTATGTGTGCCAATTTTTCAGCCGTTTTTGTGTGATTAAGTAACACACAAACTTCCACATTCATAATATTAGTATGGATGGATATACCTACTTAATGTTGCAATTAATGAAAGTTGGTATGTTGCATTTTGTGAAAGACGTGTCGTATGCGAGAACGCAGACGAGAACGTGACGCCTGCGCTCCCCAAATAGACGATCGCTAGTCACCTAGTAACAAGCTTTCGGAGAGCGCCGAGCTGATAACAACCTTGTCACTATGCACTTTAGAGTTCATGATTGGTCAAGCACTGATACGAGCGGAAGGAAACCGTTCTTCAACGTCGCCCTGGCACACCTGGCTCTCATTCGAGACTGGAATTTATGCTGAAACTAATCTCAGTCAAAGGCGCCTTTTTCACCAGATCGTTTCGTTTGTTTCTGTGCTGTTTGTGTACAGATTCTTTACCCCACCTCTTGACGAGCTCGTTTTGGTGTGGTATAGTTTCGCTTTGTTTGCTACGGACGTAGTAAGAAGTAATTTGTGGCTACGGTGTTTGTCATTTATGCCGTCACGACGACGGGCCGGCGCCCGGCAAGCCGCCCGCCGAACCACTATTAGGCACCTACTACTTACCATTAGGCAAGTACCAATGATGGTACAATTGGCACTGATTTATCCCACTAGTACCATTAAAAACATACAAGTAAAACACCTGGCGTTACTTGCATAATAATTAAAAATTACTAGGTACATTGTTAATTTATTTTATTGTTCCCAAAAATGCAACTAAACCAAAAACCGCCTACATACTTGTGTTAAATAACAAAGATATGTATTTTTGTAATAGAATAAAAACTAATATCGCAATTTTTTCTAAGAAAAATGGGACTTCTATTGTCACCTACAACAAGTTGCATTTGCACATGTTCTAATTGTTTTTGTGCAGCACAGATGTTTGTTTGTTAACAAAAATAAAAACCGACTTCATAAAAACCTAACCACTAAGTAAGAAATAATGCATATTGTTTACTTGTTGTAGGCGATATAGAAGTCCCACTTTTCTAAGAAAATTGCGATGTTTCTTAATTGTAACACAAATATGTAGGCATTTTTTGGTTTAGTTGAACAATAAACAAAATTGCAATGTACATATTTTAATTATTATGTAACGCCAGGTGTTATACTTGTATGTTTTTTAATGGTACTAGTGGGATAAATTAGTGCCATTTGTACCATCAATGGTACTTGCTTAATGGTACAAGTGGTCAGACGGGAGCCGAATGGCTTGTTAGCACTCGGCACAGAGGTTTATGCGCATGGTAAAAATTTTGAACAGAAACGACAGGAAGGGTGATGATACCGCTTAAAGCGCTAAAAATGATTATTATTGTGTATTAATACAGATCAAATAAATTGTTTTGGAGTCTTTAAAGAACGAAATCAAACAACAGTTTATTATTATAATATTATATTACCAAAATCGGTACTCGTACTGGCATCCCTTCACAAAAGTGCAGCAATATATCGATAATTATATTAAATTACATTAAAAACTACTTATCAACATTAAAAACATACCTTATAGTTATCTCAAAAATAATAATTTACTAACAAACATTACTGCAAATGGAACATAGAAGTACATGTCACAAAAGGAGCTGTGCATTCACAGCTGTTGCGGGTATGTTAAATTGAAATTGAATTCATAGGTGAGGTAGTATTGTCCATAATATTACACTAGGTTTTCTTGCGATAGTTAAACAACGATCACATTTTACAAAAATACTTTAATTACATAGAAAAATACAATATAAAATTACAATGAATTTCACTAGAAACTTGGTCCGATACGTCTCAATCACAGTTTCGAATTATAACTACTTATCACACTATGAATTGAAATTACTTTATCAAAGACCCCAAACAGCTACTTGCAAAGGCGGAAGACGCAACTCCATATAAATTGAACACATGGTTACTTAGAATAACTTACAAAGTCAATATCTATAAAATATAACAGTGAATTTCGAGGATATTGTTATTCTCAACTATGGGAGCTTACTATGGATGTATTCATTAAGTAATAAATGTCTTTGGTTCTTCAAATTTGTTAACAGATTAGCCATGTATTCAAACAGTTCAAGTCCGAAGATAAAAGTTATATTTTTCTTATATAGGTACTCATACATGGAAAAATTAGGTGCAGGTTTTTATTTCCATTGAAAACAGTTATTTAAAATCTAACAAAACAATTCACACAATCTTATTTCACGAAAAAAAAGCACATTGCTATAGTAAAAGTTTATGGAGCATGTAAAAGCTGCATTAACAATTGAATAAAACTTCAGTTAATTAAATGCAAAACTGTTCGTAATTAATTCCGATAATCGTTATCCATATTGAGATTTCAATTAAATTTTTGGTGATGTGGCTGCGTCTCATTACATGCGAGTGTGGATTGAGTGATCTTTTCAAAAAACTCATCCAATCACAACCAAATTATAAAAGGATTTAGGAAATAACTGAAAACTTCATGTTAAGGTTACGCAATCTGGATACCTGAACAATAAGCCATAACGCGTATCCAAGAATATACTACCTATGTGTTTATAATTTGCATTTGAAATAATTGTGAAGAATTTGTGAAAGCTGCTAAACAAAGTTGCGACGATCGATGAGTGATCCAGTTAATTAATTCTAACTTTCTTTGTTTAGGTTTCACAAATTTTATACCTTACCATGAAGTTTTCACAGTTATTTCCTAAATCCTTTTATAATTTGGTTGTGATTGGATGAGTTTTTTGAAAAAATCTGTCAGTCCACACGCACATCTCATTACGTGACGATTCTGCCAATGTCTAGGTTAAATGAGACAAGGTATATGCTGAGCCTGTTCGGTTTTGTTGATGTTGTGCAGTGTATGGCGACTGCAGACTCGTTGAGGTTGAGAAGCTATTTCCTCCAATTACACCACCTTTCTACTTAACTTTTTTACAAATGCCAAATTGAAAGGTATGTTGATCAGAGTTAAGAGTGAAATTAGCCAATAAGGAGGCTGATATGTAACAAACACCCAGAGGGTAAGATATTTTCTAGTTCCTTAAAGCAGACAAATTCAACTTTATGAGCTTAGTAATAAGACCGTAATGGAGAACCGAGCGCTCAAAGTATGTGTTGTACTGGCCCTCAACACAACAACGTGCCATATTATGCATTATGCGAACACTTCATTTGGATAATTTTGTTTGCTATTTGTAAGCTTGACATCAGTCTGTCCTTTTCATTCCTCATAAAGTATGATAAAGACAAACTCGAGTAAAATTTACAAAAAGAAAATCCGAATAACCAAAAGAGGTGCCCAGCATTAGTAAAACATTGTTGAACAACGTTAGATCCAATGTAATCAACCACGGTAGCTTTTAAGGGCCTTGAAAAATATTGTAGCGGCACGTAGATCTTCCAATGTTTATTATCTAAGCAGAGTTTATCTGCTGGGAATAGGCGAAAAACATGTTTTGGTCCCGTGTCTCGATCTCGTTGTTTTGGCATTATACTAGCTTGCTCTTACATCTGTTGATGCAGGTCTTGCGTTGTTTGCAGGTGTCGGTGGTTCGTATTTGGGCACTGGGTACATTGGTTTAGGCTCTATGGTCGACACAGCTTCGTATCTGTAGCAAAGACAGGACAAATCAAGATTTATGTATTTATTTATCTTCAACAAAGTTTCTACAGCGTTTTTTTGTGGATTAAATACAATAAAATATAAAAACAATCTTAAGGCCAATTACAGAAACTCATTATGTACACATTAGATACTAACGGCGTCACTGTATATCAGAAATAATTACATTTAATTTTAAAAATTGTATAAAAATCATATAGTTTACTAATATAAATAATTTAATTAAGATTGGACAAAACATAACAAAATGACAAAAAAAGAAAAACATACACTAAATACCCATACAAAAGGGTTTTCAAGAATTTGTCACATGATAACTTTATGAAGTGTGGGTGTGTGTGCGTGTATGTATGTAAGATTACTAAAGTATGGAGGACATAGGGAATAAAAAACATCGGTGGCATTCTTATCACTCATGTGAGTTTTAATGTAACTAATAAGCCAATGAAAATATTTTTTACTATGTATTTGAAATAATAACAGTCTGTGAGCAATACGGCCGCATTGACGTACGTCATCAATGAACTTTTAAGTTTGATTAAAGTTGATGCGCTAGGAGCTTGATGGCGAAAGCGGTTAGCGCGTTCGTTAAAGTTAAGCAACTTTCGCAGTGGTCGGTCATTGGATGGGTGACCAAAAATTTACTATCTCGAGCTCCTCCGTGCTTCGGAAGGCACGTTAAGGCTGCATCTGCAGTCGTTAGCACCCACCAATCTGGGTCCGCGTGGTGGGTCACTGTCCAATCTCCCTATTCCATCCATAGGGAAGGCACGTGCCCCAACAGTGGGTACATTAATAGACTGGTGATGAAAGTTGATGCTATACGTAGGAAAGAAATAGCACCGTACGTCGTATGTACGTATGGTCGAGTAATTCTGAATAGCGGGAATTAGAAATCGGGACGTCCCGCCAAAATCAGGATCTCTGGCAATGCTGACTGAAAACTAAGTAATCAGGTCAGAGGGCGTATTATGAACTAAAAAATACCAGGCAATTTCTGTTGTAAGAACGAGATATCACATATGCACAGTAGAACGAAATCTCTCTTCAACCACTGTTTTTTGACTGCTGGCATTCTGCTCTACAAGTCGAAAAACAGTATCTCAATCAGAGTAAAGTAAGGTTAAAGAAAATCACTTGTTTGTAACTTTAGGACCTTACTGATTGATGAAAAAAACAGCTGTTTCATACATTTCGGTTAATTAGCTGATGCACTGTTGTATGAAACAGCAGATTTTTTTTCGCGATTTCATCATGGTCCCATAATAAAAGTTGTTCCTGTTGATGGGTAGAATCACCCCCCACGAGGGTTGTTGGTGTTTGTAAATTAACCCTGTATAGGTAAAGCACTTGTTGCTCTTATGCTTGTCGGGGATGGCCTGGTAGGGCTGCATGTAGATATTTAGGTCTCCGGTGCAGTAGAGCGATGGTATATAGTTTACTCACTTGTTGCTCTTATACTTGTCGGGGATGGCCTGGTAGGGCTGCATGTAGATATCCAGGTCTCCGGTGCAGTAGAGTGATGGTATATAGTTAACTCACTTGTTGCTCTTATACTTGTCGGGGATGGCCTGGTAGGGCTGCCTGTAGATATCCAGGTCTCCGGTGCAGTAGAGTGATGGTATATAGTTAACTCACTTGTTGCTCTTATACTTGTCGGGGATGGCCTGGTAGGGCTGCATGTAGATATTCAGGTCTCCGGTGCAGTAGAGTGATGGAATATAGTTAACTCACTTGTTGCTCTTATACTTGTCGGGGATGGTCTGGTAGGGCTGCATGTAGATATCCAGGTCTCCGGTGCAATAGAGTGATGGTATATAGTTAACTCACTTGTTGCTCTTATACTTGTCGGGGATAGCCTGGTAGGGCTGCCTTGGGGCATGCGCGTGCGAACGGGCCAGCTCCCGCATGCAAGCGTCGATGTCAGCGGCGCAGTATCCCGAGCTGCTGGCCAGCGCTGCGGGCCACGCGGTCGATAAGCAGGAGCTATGGACCCCACTCTCGGAGTAGGATCCGTTTGCGCCTGATAGACAAACAATAACCGTTGGTTGGTGTGCACAAGGATGTGGGCTTGTTTTGCTTTAATCTGAATCAATTTAAAAAATGTGTTCTAGAATTCGTAGGTATAATAACGTATTTTATTGATTTGCTAATGTTTTGTTTTCTTCTTATCTTGTGATATAATCTAATTCATTAATGTAATATATTTAAATCAATTGTAAGTAATTTTATCGGATTTATAGTTTTAAATTTGATTTTATTTGAATGAATTTAATTTAATGCAATGTAACAGTTAATATTGATTTAGTGTTATTTGTTTTATATAACTACATTTTTTGTGAATGCATGTTAAGTGTTGCAATCTTGATCGATTCATCAATATTAATAAGTCAGGAGTTTGTTGATTGTAATATGTTATGTATACCGAATAAATAAAATCAATATTTCAGCCTGTTAATTGCCCCAGAGGAGGAAGCAGAAACAGCCCTTCTCAGGGCCAAGACAGGGCCGGAGAGAACTATGCTCTGCTTCTCACTCCTTGCGGGAGCACTCCATTTATTCAAAATGCAAAAGAAAAAGAGCGCAAGCCATTTGAAAACTTCCGGCGGTCAAAAATACCAAAAAACATCATGAGCTATAGCTATAGTATTAACGATAGGCGGTAGGGATAGGCAATCACCAGTAGCTATGTGGCCAGCCAGTTTGTTATCAGGCGTACCCAAAATAATTATAATAAATCGAAAAAAAAAATCCTAAAGGGGTTCCACAACTACGTCCACACTCTCGACGCGCATTCGGGAAACCTCGGTCCTCTTAGAATGAGTGTGATCAGAAAAATCAGAAATCGCAGTTTCAACCACGACGAGCCAGCATCGACAGCCTAACGCGACATATTACCAGTTTTGCTCAAGACCGTCATGAGGCCCTTCGTTCAGAGAGCAGTCTAAACCACTGCCTGATAAAGGCAGTTCTTCGAACTTGTATAAAAAAGTAAACATCCATAAAAGTTTTTGGAATGAATAGTTTAAAGAAACCAGATCTTAAGGTGGGAATAAATTTATTAGAAGGGTTGTGCTTTGATGATGCAGAAAACTATTCTACTAGAATTAGAAAATATACTCTCTTAAAAACGCCAAAATAAGCAAGTATGACACAAATGTTCGAGGATCAATAACAACGAAAGAACAACTTTTGGTGACGTTGAGATTAACAAAATTATCCAAGACGCAAACAATATCGTCGTTAATCGAACAGAAACGGAATCGTTTGCATGATGGTTAAAGATCATTTCTTAACAATGTTATGGCGAATGTAGACTTCTTGGGAACGCACAAGTTTCTGATTATACTAACAGAGGACTAAGGAGGCTGCGTTAAGCTCGGCGTGCAGTATTATGTCATTGCATAGAACAGTCTCACGCAGCGCAGGCCCTAGGAGAAGATGCGTCGAAAGTATTTTTTGTATAAGACGAGGAAATTAAATAGAAAGGCAGTAGAGGCGATAACTCTCCGGACAAACGGCCTCATGGCGATCTCGTGTTACGAGCTGCGTTAGGCGCTGTGCCCATCTAAGCAAACTTGACAGAAACGTGATTGTCCACAGGCATGTAGCATGACTCTGGCATGACATTCTACAATCCCACCAGGGTGACATGACAGTGACTTTTCAAAGTACAAAGGCACTCGAGATAATGTCGTCGTCGATGATCAAGATGCTCTTGCTTATTAACAAATTTAAAATATTCAAAACGGACAGAAGCTTTCGGTTACACCCTATGTGGAAAGTGGAAAAAAGTTAAAAACTGGTGGCACCATACGTGTGTATGTATATAATTCCTGTTTCTTTGTTGGTCTTTCTTGAACGAATTCAATAAATTTTGTATTAAATTCTAGCTGACGTAATCACTGCAAGTTTCGTGTTGCGCGTCACTTCATCGTGTAGTAGCACACTGCAGCGCTGAGTGGCACGTCAGGACATGTCGCGTTACGCCACGTAAATGGGTGCTAGCTCATACATTTACCTTGAATGTTAATGCTAGTGACATGTTATAATGTGATTCAACTAAGAATAGAATAGCGTTTTTATTATTAAACGTCAGTACCCTTAGTACGAGTTTTACAATTACGAAAACTATGATAGTTTTCGTGAGCTCAAACTCTTACTAAGGGTACAGGTGGAGTGGGCAGTTTAATTGTTTTCTGCAAGTGCCAAGTCATCTATGAAAAAAAGCATGCAAAATATCTAAAAGTGATAGGATATATACGTATAGCATGTGCTCTTCACGTCTAAACTTTATCATAAGTTTAGGGTACGCATCTGTTCTAACCTCTAAAATTAAAAGGGCATAGAGTGCCAAAACTTTTGCATATAAATATTCTTCAATCATACATCTTTATATATAAAACTCAATGGTGATTGACTGACAGTGATCTATCAACGCACAGCCCAAACCACTAGACGGAGCGGGCTGAAATTTGGCATGCAGGTAGATGTTATGACGTAGGCATCCGCTAAGAAAGGATTTTGATCAATTCCACCCCGAAGCGAAGTGAGGGCGGGCCACTAGTTATCTATATATTTCCCATTTTGTTTGAAAAAAAAAATTAAAGTAAAATACCTTTATTGATGAATATACTGTGATCCACAGTCGTATCGACCTCATCCCGGGAGCAACGTTCGCACAGAAGACAGTGGCGTGCAGTGGCCAGAGCACTCGCAGCAATCACTGAAGGTTTGAACTGTAGATACGGGTCTGCCTCTAGTAGACTCAGCTCGGCAATGTACTATAAAGAAAGTATAGTGTTAATCAATGATAAAGATATTTCAACAAAATTTCATTTATGGCCAGAGTATTGTACACAATACTTGAATAATAATAATCATTTATTTATTGGAATCACTTCACATTTACCCTCTGGAAAAGGTTACCTTGAGGACTAGAAGACAGTACTCTGCCCACTATTATTAACTTTAGAAATATTGAATACTTATTTTAAGATTAGAAGAATTCTAATTATTGTATAACTTCAAAATTGATACTTACAGATGCTAAATGGAATGTCTTTTTCGAGAGTCCATTTGAGATGCAGTAGTGTGATAAAAATGCAAGAGAGGTAGGTGTGGACAGGTCAAATGAAAGGACCTTCAGTATGAGATGCTCCATTCTCAGTACTTCACGCTTAGTGTATGTGTCATCAGTTATATACACAAACTCTGACACCTCTGGTGGGTAAACCTCTTCATATTTCCTAAAGTTAAAAGTATTATCAATAATATTCCTCTTGAATAAATTTCTAACAGAAAACTAAAATTTTTAATCTTTTTAGATTAATATCTACAATGATTCTTGACTTAGAAGATTGAAGAAAAAATTATTGAAACAATGACAAAGAAGATGACAACACCAAAGGGACCATTCTAAATCCTAATCCTGACCTGATAATATATAAATTGGAACGTTTGTATGTGTGTTATTCAAAATCACGCAAAACCAGCTAAACAGGTTTTGTGAAATTTAGCACACATAGTTTTCTATAGTGAGATATAGGATATTTATTATCATGTAAAAATATAAGGTTCCTGTGGGATGCTCAAAAAACAAACTTAATGTGGTTGAAAACACAGCAGCTTTAACTTAATAGATATAACATTTAAACTTTAATACTTACGCAGCTATGTAGGTAGCAGCAGTGCCTACAAGTTGCAATTTGGTCCGTACCACACTCATGTAAGACAAGAATCGGTCCACATAGGAAACTGCTAGGTGCAGTGTCTCACTTTGCTGTCCATACTCATCACAGACTTCAACGAGCCAGTCGATTAAGATAGAGCGCATTACATGAGTGATGTCTGGCTGTTTACGCATGTAGCGTGGATTGGCTCTGTTCTTCACCTAAAAATTGGGGACTTTTTTAATATTGATCCTATTTCCTATTGATTGAGGGATTGTACTAAGGGTGACAAAAATTCATCATAAATAAGAAAACCATGAAATAAAACAAACTGCCTATTAACAGGATCAAAATGTAGCAAAAATTGTTCATGTTTGCAACAAGCATCATCAAAATAACAATAATCAACCATTTAACCTTGCAGAAGCTCTCGGTAAACAAATACTAACCTCAATCTCTCTCATATATTCATAAATATCTTGCCGATACTCTTCAACATGGAAAAACATTTCCCTGTCAGTTTGAGCTGTGGTAGCTGCATCTGCATCATCTTCATCGATACTATTAAGTAGTTGACTCTCATTCTTAGAAATGGACATTGACAAAATGCTAGAGTCAACAATGGACATAGGAGACTCAATGACATCTTTCTTTTCTTGTAATGGAAGTCTGCAAAATGTATGGACATGGACATGGTATGAAATTAAATATCTGGATTAATTAATTAATGATCATGTTTTTAAAACATGATCATTAATTAATGATCATGTTTTAAAAACATGATTTCAATTGATCACATCACATTAAATTTAGGATGTTCATTTTTTCATGTACTTCATGAAAGATGTTAAAAAATAATAAATAAATTTAAAAATATAAATAATTTACAGTTAGAGATTATATTTTGAATCTACCTTCCAACATCTTAAATAATTTCAAGATGGCCAAGATACAATTATCAAACAATTACCTTGCAAGAGTTGTATCTTTTTGCCAATCTGGTTGTTTCTTGATTTGATCACACAGGACTTTGACATTTTCAGCCTCATTCTTAAAAAAGTTGTCCTTCTTGATATCCTTGGTGACAAAATGCTTGAAAGTAGGCTCACGTTTCTTCACCTCTGCTTCAGTAGGTTTATCTTCATACACATTAAAAGCGCGAAATTGTGCCACTGGTGGAACGATATTCTTTTCATTCTTAATTTGCCGTATCTTTCTGGTATCGTCCTGAACTTTGCAAGGTCCATTCGTCAGACCGGGCTAAGGGCAATAGATATATCAATATAAAATTAAAGACTGCTTTATACCTAACAGAATAAGTTTAGGAAATCAAAATTGGATCGAAATGTTAAGTAACAAAATGACAAACTCACAAGTTTATTATTCCGGTTTTGATAGCATCCGAAATGGCTAAGGTCGCCCAATGCACGCCTTTGGTTAGCAGCTGAAAATACATCAGAATTCTCCTTCCTCAGCCCTAATGCTGAATTTTCTTGATCCTCGTGAATTCTGAATGCCATTGCCCCGCTTGTCTCGTATACAATAACGAATTACCAGATCAGCTTGAACGCGGGCCGCGTGGTCAATTGGTGGCGACCAAAGCAGATTGAACTTATAACAAGAAAATTAATAACATATTTTATTGAAAATAATGCAATTATTTAAGAAAGAAAGCAAATTAAACTGAATTCACCCCCAAAGATGTTGGCGATGCGTCAACGGACAACAGACATTTTGGAGGTTTTCAGCTGTTGCAGTTTACGTTAATCTCTAGTCTATGATATTTCAAATGTGACCAATAGGAACGCGGCTATTTGTTCTTCTTCTTCTTTTTTTATGGCATGCACGGTTTGTGCGTTCAGCCAAACGCGGCTATTTGTTGTCGATGTGTTTTTTTTTATTAGGTTCTCCCTTTTTTAGGGAGGCAAGGGGAACAATGCCCATACAGCCTAGTCTTAAGTTAAATTATTCTGTTTTTCTCTTTACATTAGAATGTCGGTGTGACGCATTCTAATGTTTCTTGAAGTGTTTGGCACGAAATGTATCAAGCTGGCCTTTTCGATAAGCTTCTGTGAGGTAGTCAATACTACAATAAAATTCTCACGTCCACTGACCGGAATAGCGTATATATTGACGATTCTACTAATTCTTCAGTTACAGTCTGTCTATAAAGTCGTGACAATGATGGCGCCACTAGTATGCATGTAGCTAGTACTTTACTCATTTTTAATACCTTTCTGCGTAGTTTCGTCTTAACTTATTACAGTTTAATCCAGAAAATAAAAAATACAAAAGGAAAATTGTTCCACAACTGAAACTCGATGACAGCTGATGTACATAAGTTTGGTGTTGCCAGACACATGAATAATGTTAGTTCCTCAAACATTCATGTCACGACTTTATAGGCAAACTGTACGCAGACAGTTGTAACACAATGTCACACTAATTTTATTTCACAATATCCACTATGAACGAATTTAAGAATAATTAAAATTAGACGCTAACCACACTCGATGAAATCTAATTTCTAAACACACAGAGTTAATTTCGTTAAGCTGGAAATATATTTATCTGTCATGTATGTGTGTTGTGACGCGTAAAAGATGTATGTATGTATATAAATGTAAATAAAAAAAAATATATTAAAATCATAAACTAATAAAAACACACATTAATAAAAATAGCAAATAAACATAAATAAAGAAATAGCAAAAAGGTCAATATTTCAGGAGACCGAAGAGCTGGCAGCTACCTGGGACAAAGAATTAGTCTAGCTATTCAAAGGGGGAACGCTGCCAGTATCTTTGGAACCGTGCCTCCTGAATGGACTCCTTTTATTAATATACTTTATGTTTATATATATATTTAAGGTTTTTAGTTATAAATATCTTACTAGTTGTACTGTAGTTAAATGTACATACATGTATACATTAAAATATATTATTTGAATAACTAAGTAATAAATAAAAAATACAAACATTGATTTTCACCTAACTTAAAAAACGACGTGTCACCAAGATTATTCAAAATCTTGTGTCTATGATTTTTTTTGATAATATATTACTCTTTAAATAAAACAACATATACATATAGCTGGAAATATCTTTACCTATCGTGTTGTGTCGTGGTGCGTCAGAGAACTAACGGTTTCATACATTTAGTACGGTTACAATTATATTTGTATGTCGAGATGTAAATACTACTAACTGTACTAAATGCGTGAAACCAAATCCTTTTGACGCTCACGACACGACATAACACGACAGACAAATACGTTTCCAGCCTTAGACAAAAGTTGTACCGGGAGTGTAAGGGTACGGCCACAGTGCACGCAGATTCAGACTCAGAAAACAAGCGCAAGAAATAAACAGTGTAGTTTAAGCAGGGTGGCCATAGTGGCAGCAGGCAACCTGCTTAAAGTACACTGTTTATTTCTCGCGCTTGTTTTCTGAGTCTGAATTTGCGTGCACTGTGGCCGTACCCTAAGTACAGTTTGTCTATAAAGTCGTGACATGAATGTTTGAGGAACTAACATTATTCATGTGTCTGGCAACACCAAACTTTTGTACGTCAGCTGTCATCGAGTTTCAGTTGTGGAACAGTTTTCCTTTTGTATTTTTTATTGTTTGGATTAAACTGTAATAAATTAAGACGAAACTGCGCAGAAAGGTATAAAAATGAGTAAAGTAAATCGGAGTGGCACGCGGGAAGTGATTTTTAAAGTTTTCCAGCGATGTTTCGAAGACTACCAAGCTGGACGAATTTTGTGGGATTTGGATGATGTTTATGGGCGAACAGCATCTATGACGGGTATGTAATCGTGTAACTATTTGTTTGTAATCTGCCTGAAGTTACTAATTTACTCAATTTACGATTTTGAGACCAAAAAAGGCATTGTTTACATTTCACATTTTTAGGTTAGATTGACACTGGTGTCGATTCTAGCGTCATTCTCTAAACTTAAAACTAGATTTAACAGCAATCTCTCCTTTTCATTCTGTATAGAGAATGACAAGGATGCACTGTTGTCAAATTTAAGTTTAGCTTTAGAGAATCATGCCAGAATCGATATCATTGTAAATAGGTAATATTGTAGTACGACCATTTCTTTTGATACGTATTATGTTTCAACTCGGTCAGGTTTTCTACCAATTTTGAATTAATTGCTTCATGTCAATAAGTTATTGTTTCTATTCCGTTACATATTTTTTTACTTTTTTTCAGGAAAATCAGAGAGTCGGATAGTCAACGTAGGTTTTAAGAATGATGGAAAGTTTGAAACTCCTGGGAAAACAGGCAAGGCCGACCAAAGAAAGAAATGGTCACATAAAGAACCATGGCCAGATGCTTTTAGTGAAGATACCTATCACTAATTTTACTAACTGCACATTTACAAATGGTTTCTCTAAATAAACTTTTTATACACTATAAAATGATTTTTAGTATACTTATATGATTACCTAACGGCTCTGGTCTCAATGGCACCTCAGCGGTAATCACCAACATTACACACTTTTACACTATAAAGTACTATTTTATCTATAATAATTTTATTCTGATTCAATTAAATATGCTTGGCTAAACTTTTTACAAGCATAGGTACCTACTATATATAAAACAGAAACAAAATACGACTGTATAGTGTGTCTTATTAATTGCCTATTTTACTTGAATGAACTGCTAGTATCAAAATCATTTTGGTCCGACTGTACAGGGTTGCTACATGCATACTCGTGGCGCCATCATTTAATGTCACGACTTTATATACAAACTGTACGGCGCGTACTTCTGATCAGAGTTGCCAACCGTACGAGAATTTTCATGCAAATACGAGATTTCTGCCGTACGAGGTACGAGAAAACCACGATAATGGTGTACGAGATTTTATCAGATAAATTTATAACACGATATTTCATTCTACGCAACATGTTGGAGCATAAACCTAAGTATAATAAACATAAACTTCTAATTCTAAAGATGTTTAAATGTTCTTGAAAAACATAAATAAAGAAACATTTCTTTACAGTCCGCTGGCCTATAAAGCCAGTTTACGAGATTTTTAGCTGCATATGTACGAGGAAAAAAGTTCTACGGTTGGCAACCCTGACTCTGATAGTGCTTTGCTTGCCAGCACAAACTATATAGCGCATTTTGCGAGTTCTGACGGGATGTCATTGAGTGCGGTTGGCATCTTATTTTAATCATTCTTTATTATAGTGGATATTGTGAAATAAAATTGGTGTGATTTTTCGTTACAGCCGTCTAAACTGATGGAATCTTTAAAATATACGTTTTTCCGGTCAAGTGGACGTGAGAACTTTATTCTAGTGCTGACTACCTCACAGAAGCTTATCGACAAAGCTGACTTGATACATTTTGTGCCAAACACTCCAAGAAAGATTAGTATGCGCTACAGCCACATTCTAGTATAAAAAAAAGAGAACAAAGAAAACTGAAGACTAGGCGGTATGGGCATTATTCCCTTTGCTATCCCGTAAAAGAGAGAACGTAAAAAATTAATTTTCTTGCAGCTGATTTTGACATTGACAGTTCTAAATGATGTGGTTCTACGAAATTGTAGACAATTTGTTTATTTATGTAAATTTAGTGTACATAATCTACATTTAAAGTTGAGTAAAATTAACTTTGAATGTGAAAAACAGTGCAGTATTTATTATTGCAAAAAAAATATTATTATTCCTTCAAATAAAAAAATATGATTAAGATAGTGTTCTCAGTTTGTATCTTCTTTTTTTACTGCAATACATCGTGCAATACACTTCGAGAATATAAAAAAGACGATGTTTTAAAACTTAGGTAAGTACTTAAGTAATTTTATGTGATATGTCTTGTTAGAAATGGAAAAAACAACATAAAGTAAACCATCATTTGAAAAGGCTGGCTACCTTGTACATTAAGTATTTTAAAACTTATCTATTTTTATAACAGCCAGAGAACCTGACAGAAGTTGTGTTGCCCGATTATAACTACTAACGTGTGAATCAAAACTATACAGGGAATGACTTGACTGCACAGAAAAAGCAATTAAATCGGTTGTATTTGGAGTTCCAGTTCCATTACATTACAAACTAGATTAAAAGAAACCTACTTAAAAATAATTATAATGATAAATGTGTGTATGTTTGCTACTCAATCACGCAAGAACAACTGAAGGGATTTGGATGAAATTTAGCACCCATATAGTTTAATACCTGGATTGAGACATAGGATACTTTTCATCCAGGAAAATTATTAGGATCCTGTTAGATTACAAAAAAACTAACTATATGTCTAATAGGCAGTTTTGATTGGGCTAGGCTTTTTAACTAAGAAAGTTTTAGGGTATATTCAAATTCGTAAAATTTCTAGTAAGGTTGGATGTAGGAATTTTAAAGCCTTTTTCAATCGCAATGAAATTTTTTTTTACTAAGGAGTAATGTTATCCTAAATTTTCTAATTATTTAGTTTATTGTTTTTCTTCTGTGGACATGTGTAGTTTTACCAAGAATATTATCCCAATTAAAGGTTCCCAAGGGATATTTTTTAATTCTAAGGTCTATGTGGACAAAGTCACTGGTAGAATCTAGTTAATTATATTTTATTGAACCTTTAACAGCTACAATATTAAATTTACAGAAAATTACTAAAAAAATCTACTCTCTCAGGATCCAGTTTGGTATCCCAGGACGTGATATATATTGTCTTATTTCCTATTTTAGGGAAGAAGTACGGGAAATGTTTCAACATGCCTATGATAGTTATTTACATTATGCTTATCCCTATGATGAACTGCGTCCACTTAGCTGTGATGGAGTGGACACTTGGGGAAGCTATTCACTTACCCTCATTGATGCACTTGACACCCTAGCGATTATGGGGAACTACACAGAGTTCAACAGGGTAGTTGATATTGTACTCCAGAAAAAGGATTTTGATGCAGACATAAATGTTTCAGTTTTTGAAACCAATATCAGAATAATTGGTGGCCTACTAAGTGCCCATCTACTCTCCTATAAGTAAGTAAACAATTTATTTTAAGTTATTTCACTCTAATAAAAACGAAAAGCCTTTATCCAATTCCTATGTTAACATAATTTCAACATAAGATGTGATTTTTTGTCTATAAAAATATATTTAAATACTTTATTGTGTAAATGAAAAAGCCTAAAATATGGAACAAGTAAATATATATCGTCGTTGCGCTTGGAAAAACCGACAAACGTCAAAACCAAAAATTTCAGGAGACATAAAAAACTGATTGGAGCTGAAATTGAATACTTAGGTGTAAAATCAAATATGCAAAAAAATAAAAAAATATGTTACACAATAGATTACAAATTAAGTTTCAAGAAACAATAACATCTCTTTGATAGAGATTTTTTTTTCATAATTTAAGACAGTTAGCTGGTTTTTTTTGTGTCGTAAAACACCGTTATGTATTTTTCTGACACAAAGCTGATTTCCCGTTTAAGATTTAACACCCTTCACTAGCTTATATATCCACAAAACGTATTTATTCTATTAAATAGAATAGTTAACACGTCAAAGAAAGCCAGACAAAGAACATTGCTTTAAAAAAAACATTTTATTAGACAGGAAAGTAGCTTTAGTAGGACAAAAATTATGGCAGGTACTGAAATTTTCGCTGCGACATTTGGTAAACAAGTACACTAAAATCTTAGGTTGTTGTAGAATGAATGGCAATCTCGATGCATGTAAGGCTTAAACAATTGAAGTTGGTCGAATTTGCTCTTTTCTATTTTACTAGGTCTTTCGTGTAACAGTGCAGGTGATTGATATAACTCAGGTTTTCTTCGTTGTGGTAGCAGTACCCAGTCATCTGGGTGAAATTTTTTAAACCAAGCTTTGCTTTGTTTACAAAGCAGTGCCCTAATATCTGTAACAGTTGGATCTCCTGTTTTATTGCTCGGCCGAAGCAAAGTTACTTGGTAAATCGTCACAATTTTTGAAGAAAGTGTGGGCGACGTTAGTCACTTCGTACGGCTGTGTTGGTCTTGCTTGTCGGATCCGGTAGACATAGTCGCCAGGGGTATATAGTGGTGGTTGAAAAAGTTTTTCTAGAGTAGAGTGCACACTATCCACCTCCATCATTGTGTGCAAGGGGCACACAATGATGGAGGAGAAGGAGGATGGAGTCATTTTACAAAATAATTTGGTGGATGACTATCGATTCTTTATTGAAAATGTCAGGCAATGCACTCACTCAGACTTTGTTTTTGATCTGGTATGCACAGCCATCTGATGTTAAACCAAATTTTTGGTATCCATTCGATTCTTTTAGTTTTTCCATAAAATCGAGAATGCTTGTTACAAACTTAGTTTATTATTGTTAATTTATATTGTAAAATATGTATTTGTCGTTTTTCTTTCTTTGAAAGGCTGGTAACTCATTTTCCTAGCAACAAAAATAATAAACGGAATACATTTTCGTCAATGATTGCAGTGCATCGTCAACATATATCCTGGAACCTGAATCAGATTTCAATGTTTTTCGTTTGATCTGGTTTGGATTATTACTTGGCAATGTCATTGATTCTGTTGTATGTTTCGTGGCATCTTCTGCTCTTATCCAATCTGTGAAAGATTTTTTTTTAATATCTAGTGTCGCTAGTAAAAAGTCTCTGCAAAGTCTCAGTTTGATACCGTCATGTCTCGGCAAATAACAATCAATGCCATTGTTTCTTTTATGATCTGTTTCTATTAAATCTTCCGATGTCTTGCGTCGCTTGTTAATAGTTTCCTATTGAAATTTGGATATTGGCTATTGAGATTAAGCAATATCCAAATTTAAATAGGGTAGTTAGTTGGTATATACCTCCAGCTTGGGAACCCAGATAAAATTCTTATCCTGAGCTATTAGACATAGACCAACAGATACAGTTCTTTTTGTTTGCATGATTTAACATTAGAAGGAGAAAGGAAGCCTCCCGAAAGAGTTTATTTTCGCCGGTTCTTTTCCGAAAGGTCTCCTAATTTTGGAACCGGAGGTAGTTTACGGTAGTTAGAATCAAATAAATACACTCAAAATTATAAAAAGGAATTAACGAAAGTACTTTATAATTTAATTAACTAATATATTCATGCATAGACAATAAAGTTTTAAAAATCTACCAATAAAATATCCGAATGCTTAATAAAAGTCTTTCGAAGGTAGCTCGACAAAGTAAATAAAAAATCATTATTCTGAAGACGCATTCCTGCAAACGCTGCAAAACGTCAAGAAATAAATAAAATCAGCGCATCTAACGACGGAATAAAAAGTTTGAAGATAATAATTATATATAACAATATCTTAGTATTTTAACGAAATGGGTAGTTTGAGGTTGTGTTTAGGAAAATCACCAAAAACTCACTTTTTTACATTTATTTCCACGGTACTGTTTGTTGAAATAAGTATTTCCGTATGTTCTGCAATAATTTAAAATCCAATCCTTTACAATAAGTTAATAATGTGAAACTTAACAAACAAACATGTTAAATAGTGTAGTTTCGTTTGCACGCCAAATAAAATTACCGCCATGTGCAACATAAAGGCGCAGGAATAGCGCATCGACTATGAGTGGAAAATACGCTATGTATACCACCGGCACAAAGCGCATTTTGACGCCTATTTTTCTTTGACAAATACATAGCTGTTTATGTTACTTTTCTTGCAAACTGACTTTTGACCATACGGGTTTTATAGCCCTATCGGGCGTCGCAAATTAAGCCAAAGTAGCCACAAAGCTCAATTTCAGACAGAGATAAAAAAAAACAATTAAGGATCACCTAACCATGGGGCCTCCAATCCTTCATTGTCCCCACACCTCTAAATCTGGCATACTCACCTCATTATGTGAAAATAGTACAAGCTATGAGTACAATTTAACATCTCAATAAATATGCCTAAAATAGGGCTCTATATCCGGCTTAATGGGTGCAATTATTGATTTACTTTTGAATAAAAGAAGTCCTTAGAAAGTTTAAATACATACATAACACTTAGGAGCTTCTACACGGTGCAAGTAGCTGAAGCATATTGAGCGAGTGAGTTGCCTAGTCATTGGACAAAAGCTCCTAAACAAAAAAAGATAGAAAAGGGGGCACAGGTGCAGGATATAAATGTTTGATTGCTCCAGCATGAGCCATCCGAACAAATACCCCGCGTGATCTGAGGTATGCACGCGAACCACTCTCGAAAGTCAACTCTTGGGCAGTACATGCGAAATGCGAAAAAATTGCGATAGCTAATCGAGCATGTGACTTGTACTTGTACATACTGCTTATTGCAATTATCCCGCGCTGTTGTTTGCTCCAACTACTCGTACCGTAGCAATACAATGTCGGCTTGTGTGTTATGCAAGTGTGTGTATACTGACTACGTAAATAGACCGCCCCTTAGCATGCTCCAGCTATTTGCACCTTATGCACAAGTTACTTGCCTATGCTTGTACGAGTACATGTTACAAGTAGCCGGAGACAAGGAGCGGCCTACTTGCGTAAAAAATATGTCATAAGGACATCGCAGTTCATTGCTATTAAAAACTTTATGACGTTTGTGAAGATAGCATCTAGGAGTGAGGCCCTAATACGGCGTTCCGACGTCGCATTGCAATAACGCCGACGGATCAGTTGTAGTCGGATTCGTTGTAGGGCGTCGCAGATTTCTACGGAGCGACGACACGCCCCGCAATGCAGTGTTGTGGCCATGCCCGAAAAAATTAAGCGACACAATGAGCACCTATTACGCCTTTGCTTCGAGTTAGCCGTCTCGCAGTGTGGTGAGGCAGGGAGGGTCCCCGCGTCACCACACTGCTCTCCTATACAGACCCTATTAGCCGTCCCTATTGGCCGACACGGTACCGGATGATGTGCCTGTGACAAGTTTTGTAATGGTCACCGACCACCAATTCGAAGCGAACGGGTAGTCCATCAGCGTACATATTGCTTACTATGCCGCTACTAACTCTACAGCCTCCAGGTTTAAATTGCACTATAACTTCCGTGAGAGGCCAGGGTTACTTACGGGGGTGAAAATTTATTGTTACTTTTGAAATTTCAGAACTGGAATGAAGTTGGAACCAGGCTGGCCCTGCAATGGTCCACTTTTACGTTTAGCCGAGGATGTGGGACAGAGGCTTCTTGCAGCATTTGACACCACAACTGGCATGCCATATGGAACCATCAACTTACGGTCGGGCGTTCCACCAGGAGAGACAAGTGTGACATGTACAGCAGGAGTGGGAACGTTTATCATTGAATTTGGAACCCTCAGTCGTTTAACGGGAGATCCATTATATGAAGAGGTCAATACTTACTGTATCAGAGGCCCACGCACGATCTTCGACAGATTCGTCAAATTATGTATGGAAGGAGCCAGTTTGTTCTTACGTCCGGGGCGCTGCTTAGATTTATAGAAAACTTGACGATGCAATACGATAACGGAGCTGCTAAAATTCGTGCTTGGGCTTCATTATCATAATGGTGGTCATTGCCTAGTAAAATTATTTTTGATCTCTGATTTTTTGCATGTAATATTTATAGCAGTATTATTTCCCTTCAATAAATTGTTTATTTTCAGGTAGCATATAACGCCCTCAAAGCATTGTATCACCATAGATCTCCTATTGGCCTACTAGGGAATCACATAGACGTGATGACAGGCCGCTGGACAGCGCAGGACGCTGGCATTGGAGGCGGAGTTGATTCCTACTATGAATATCTTGTTAAAGGTTAGTGCTAAAATATAACAAAAAATAAACAATATTTTTAAGGCACTTAGGTAATTACCAAATTCATCGACACTTTTTTTAAATTGTATACATATAAAACCGCGTCAAGAAGCTGTAAAAGTATAAATAAGTATCAAGAATTTGTAATAGAAAAATTCCCTAGAATAGAATTAATTTATTCATAAACATAGGTACGATAATGATGAATTAATACATAAGTCCTACCAAACAGCCATTCTGTTTTGCGTGTCACTGACTATCAAAGTCATGGAAAGGGATGTGCCCCAAAGGTTAATTAGCTGGTGACAAATATTGGATTATAAGGAAAGCCATCTATGTTTCATCATCATCATCAGCCTATTAGTATTTCCTGGACTGTACAGGCTTAAAATAAAAAAAGTGACATCGGCTCATAATTCACCACGGGGGCACTGAGGATTGGCGAAAACGACGATTGCAGATACTGGCTGGATACCAACAGCTTGACGTGCCTTCCGAAGCACGAATAGTAGTGTTCGAATCTTTCGAATGATCCGCTTTATGAAAGTTGCTTTACTTCCACTATTACATAGAGGGCTGTACTGATCCCCGGCAGCGCCTGTGTGCGAAATCTTTGAAACGCCACTTTTTGTCCGATAAGTGATATCTAAAATATTGTTGGAAAACAAAAATATTTTCTAAAATATATTGGCGCTGTTTGTCCAGCTTTTGCTCTATAGCAGTGGTTCTTAACTGGTGGTCCCTGGAAAAACCTGAAATGGTCAGTGAAGTCATTTAAAAAAAAACTTACATAAGTAAGAACGCTGATTCATTTACAAGACAGTTTTTTTTACAAATGATCCTTCGTCACAGGCCCCCTTATTAATAAAAGTGGAATAAGCTTAGACTAGTTACGCCGTGTTTTGTACATGTCACTCAAATGCCATTTGTCATTCAATGAACAGAGACAAAACATGGAGTAACTAATCCTTGCTTATACCTCGTTTACCTGTCTTCGGCACGGCCGTGATTACAGACGGAAAGCATTATGGTCAATTCATACTAGCGCAGATTCGAAGCGCATCGAAGCGTCAATCAGAAACGTAACATAGCAAATTTACCCTTATCTCCGCAACGTAATGCACATATTCCTTCTGAGGTAAAAAAAAGTTGCTACCAACGGGAATTCGCGCGAATTCAAGCGTCTCCTTTTTTATCTCAGAACGTCTATTTTGCGAATTTGCTATGTTTCTGATTGACGCTTCGGACTCTGCGCTAGTATGAAATTGACCATAAACCAACGGGCCATCTAGCTCCCAACTAATTTTGCTTACAGGATCCATATTGTTGGAGAAGCCGGAGCTCATGTCTATGTTCGCGGAGGCACGGCAGGCCATAGACAAATACTTGAAGAAAGATGACTGGTTCGTATGGGCCACCATGCTAAGGGGCCACGTCACACTGCCAGTGTTTCAGTCGCTGGAGTCCTATTGGCCGGGGCTGTTGAGTTTGATAGGTACGCTGTATTTATTATGTTGAAGCTACTGTCTAAAGAAAACTTTATTTAAAAAGAGAATCTTAAGGTACTTACTTTTTTGTTTATTTTTTCTCCAAAGAAGTGAAATCCCGCTCTTTCACTTACAAAATTAGCAGTGGCGTAGCGTGCCTTGGCGGGGCCCCGTATTCATTCATTCATTCATTTCATTCATCTATCTGTCACATTTTCCAAAAATTTTACAAACAATTCAAATGAAATATACACTCTCCTTGCCCTTTTTTCGGCAAACTGATTTATTAAATTATTTATAGTTTAACTAAGTCATCATCAATTTTAGTTTTTCTAAAGTTCCTCTACGGACAATAGTGACTCCGTAGTTTATCATCGTATCGCATGTACATCGATTATTGTGGGGTTCCCCCGTTCAAGTAAATGACTTAAACAGGGAAACTCCCGCAGCCTGCGATAACCGATGTAAGGTGTTGCCAACGCACGCTTTACGCGGGAAAAAAAAATATTGCATTACTTATGTCATTTCTGAAAAAAAAATGAAAAGTTTCTATTAATTTGTATGATTGATACGGCAAATACGGCGGTAGCTGTGCCACTGAAAATTAGCATAGCATTGTTCTTTTGTCTTCCTCCCTTTTTTAATAAATAATTGGTAGTACTCTGGGTTCGAATACCGCTAGGGGCAAATGTGCGTGTGATGAATATGAGCATTTGTACCAGAGTTATGTATTTTTACAAAAATATACTAAACTGTGTATATGTAACCGTAACTATAAAAAAGAGAGTAAATGTTAGAAATATTATAACTAGCGGCCGCCCGTGTAAACTTAGTTTTTTTAAATCGGGATAAAAAGTCTCAATCCAGCCGTCCTATTCGCTAACTTTTTTGACATTTACAGTATGTAACTAAAGATAAAATTGCATATTCATCGCCCCTTTACAGAACAAGTATGTTAGTGGCGTTATAATAAAGCAGTAGTGGATCACTAAATAGCTCGGTGATGATCACTTCCATCTGTCAAAAGCAGTTAGCTAATAGGACGACAGGTAATAAACTATATGCGTACCGAATTTCATTCAAATCCGTTCAGTAGTTTTTGTAGCGTATTCGGCATGCGATCGTCGAAGTTAAGGAACTTTCGCAATGGTCGGTCATTGGATGGGTGACCAAAAACTTATTATCTCCAGCTCCTCCATACTTCGAAAGGCACGTTAAGCCGTTGGTCCCGGCTTCATCTACAGTTGTTAGCACCCACCAACCTACAATGGGCCAGGGTGGTGAGCACGGAGGAAAAACATAGAGGAGGTGTGGTGATTAAATTTCCTCAAGAAACGACGCGTGATAATTTGGCGGGATGCGGGGTGTTCAGCTCCGCCCACTTCTCAATATTTCATCTATCGGCTAATAGCAAAACTACTAGCTTAGGTTGATATTTATGTTACTACGTAGTAGTTCAGCTATCTAACACTAGATGTCAAAAGTTTTGTATATAATGGGACGTACTCAGAACTTGAAGCTTCAAAAAAATGAAATATGTAGGTAAATAAATAAAATAAGCGTTAAAAAATTTGACCGATTTTAAAAAATTTAAGGTATAATTTTTATTATTTTAAAACATGTAACTACTTGATGAAAAAAAATCCAGGCAGACCAGGCAGCAGACTGGACTCGAACCCGCACCCGCTCCCGTCTGCTGCCTGGTCCGCGTGGATATTTTTCTAGTTATATTTTCTTTAGATTTAAATTTTAAGGTAGTTTAAAAATAATAGACAAAATGTTATTACAAACATAATTTTATTAAAAAACATCAATTACCTGTAAAAATAATAGTTTTGGTTAGTTGTAGTCGGTTGGTTGCCCTATCGTTTTGTATTGTGGCAAAATACTTAAAACGAATATCAATATATTTTTCTGCAATCGATTTCATCAGAAGTACAACATGATTAACTGTAGGTGATTGGTCAAACATATGGTTGGCCGATTTTTTGAAACAATCTTGTCCAATAAGTGATTTTAATGTATTCGATACAATTTTATGTTTACGAAAGTTAGGAGTATTCAAAGATTGCGATTTAACACAACGAATACTGCATTCGGTCCGTATACATATTTTTATGACATCTCTAGATGGGAAAGTAAGACCACCCTTATTTTTAGTTTTTGTCAAATCAAGGTCACTATCGTCGTAGTTATCAGCATATAATTCTTTGAGACAGCTTTCACATTTGATCTTGGAATGTAAATATTTGACCACATACCCAGAAATATATGCTACTATTTGACGGCGCAAATAGTCACCTATAGTTGTATTTAATTGTTCATCAAATTCCAATAACATATCGTCAGGCATAGGCTCGACATCCGTGCTATCCGAAGACTCGAAACTCATTTTATTTGAAATGCGATAACGTTCTGATGTAATATTAATTTTTTGCACAGAAGATTCATTTAAAATGGAAATATCTTCTAAAGGTATGCAATTTCCTCTAAAACCTTCTTTTAGTTCTGTATTTATCAAGGTTTTTTTGTAAGCAGCTTTAAATTGACGGGATTGGGTTATTATTAGTTCTTCCATGTGCCCTTATTACTCCAAAAAATAGCTCCAAATGATCTTGTGAAAATTTGTACAGAGTAAGATACTTTAGTGCCTTTTCCTCTTCAATTAGGCGATTGTACAAAAAAAGTGTACTGTTTATGCATGTTAAAAGGCCTATAAAGCCAGTTTTTCGATTAGTAGCGATAACAGGTTTATCTTCATCGGGAGCTACTAAATAGGTCAAGAAATACTTAGCAAATTCTAAATACTCTTTTGTTTTAGAAATATTTTTTTCAAATAACGGTATTTTGTACTCCATCTGACACATGTTTCGCGAATTAAGAATGTCAAAGACATTGTTAATTAAGCGTATAAAATTTATTGTTGCGGCTGCATTTTTGAATGTTTCATCGCTTTTCTCACAAAGTTGGAGTGCGTCGGCTACGCTATTGCTGAAAAGTTGACTGGCTATTTTGACTTTAATTTTTTGGCGCTGAAAGTCTATATGTTTGTCTTTTAGCTTGTTTCCAAGATGCAGACCTTGCGACTTTTGCAGGTTATTAAGCTTGATGAGATAGGACCATTCGTGGACCATTCAATGTTATTACCCTGGTAATCAAGAAATCTCTTTTTGTTCTCAAAGGCGTTGCGCACAAGTTTCAGCATATGGCACGCGTCGAGGAAGACTGCTATTTCGTATCCTGCACTTGGATGTGGAAAAGTAGTTTTCATTGCTTGAGGTTCTAAAGAACATCCTAATTTTTTGAGCATTGCAATAATCGATAAATCCAGGTTTAAACTAGGTAAAGTGCCCTTCTTTAATTTTTTAAGACCTTTTTTTGTTACTATGGAGTCCGCGTCATTGAAATGGCAAGAACAAATCTTTGTGTATTTTGTTGGTGTCCAATCCGGTCTATTAAGTTTTGAAATCCATTGCTGTTTTAAATTATCGTTGAATGGAAATCTAAAACGAACATAAAAATAATTAAAATTAATTTACTTGGTAAAATAATTTAATACTTATTACGGCCCTGGATATTTGTTACGTTTAAAAAGTTATTCTATATGACGACAGATGGCGGCCACTTAGTAATATATTGATAAAATTACTGTTTTAGATACTAAAAGTTATTTAGGAATAAGTGTATAACAGTTTTCAGTATTTACGTATGATTATTACAATATACTACTGCAAAATTATACGTAAACTTATGTATTTTCTTCCTAAAAGTGTCGCCATCTGGTGTCAAGTAGTAGAATTTTAACGCTGATAGCTGAGAATGTTCTAGAACTTATATATTTTATTATAAGTAAATAAAATTACTTACAAATGAAATGTGATGCCATCCATATTATCAGAACGTCTGTTTGAGTAACTTTGACATAGTAAAACACAACACTTCATCCTTTTCTTGTTAAAAACGCAAAAAACACTTATAATGCGGGTCTCGTTAAGTGTGCAGCTGACGAACGCTGAAAGCATACTGACTTAGGCCCCGCCCACAATGATGACGTCAGGACCTAGTTAAAAATCACAGTGCACAGTTGCTTAGGCCAGCTCCTCTTTGTTTTTCCTCCGTGGTGGTGGGTCACGGCCCAATCTCCATATTCCGTCCATGGGGGAGGCCTGTGCCCCAGCATGGGACCATCAATAAGGCTGATGATGATGATCTATAATTGTAGTCTTAAACATACCGATTTTTGCCTGACCACTGACTTTAAAAAAATCTATTTACAACATCAGGTGAAAGCGACACAGCCATGCGAATAATCCACAACTACCACAGCATATGGAAACAGTATGGTTTCACACCGGAGGTTTACAACCTGGGTACTGGAGAGGCTTCCTCTACCAGGGAAAGTTATCCTCTGCGGCCTGAGCTGATAGAATCCATCATGTATCTCTATAGGGAGACCAGAGACCCTATATTACTGCAAATGGGCGAAGATATCCTGAGGAGTATTCAGCACAGCGCTAAAACTCACTGCGGGTACGCTACGGTGAGTCTCAATAGTTAGTATTACTGGTAACAAAGAAAATCTATCATATATTTGTATCGGGAGACCAGGGACTCAATACTACTGCAGATAGGTAAAGATATCCTGAGGAGTATTCAGCACAGCGCCAAAACTCACTGCGGGTACGCTACGGTGAGTCTCAATAGTTAGTATTACTGGTAACAAAGAAAGTCTATCATATATTTGTACCGGGAGACCAGGGATCCAATACTACTGCAGATAGGGGAAGGTATCCTGAGGAGTTTTCAGCACAGCGCCAAGTACACCTGTGTACCTGTTATTCGACCCCGACAACTTCATCCACAACCCGCACCTGTACCCTTAGTAAGAGTTTTACAATTACGAAAACTATGATAGTTTTCGTGAGCTCGCACGCGTACTAAGGGTACCGATTTTGTTTTCGTTTCAATACAAATAAATAGTGTTTAAATTCTGTCATGAAATCATTTGCGTCTTCTTAAATTTTAAGTATATTTGGTTACTTTTCAGCAGAAAAAAAAAATTACAATAGTTTTCGTGAGCTCAAACTCGTACTAATCTACAAAAAATTTAATCACATAGATAAAAGACGTCCGCGACCACCGCAAAGAGGATCGCATGGAGTCCTTCTTCCTAGCGGAGACTACCAAATATCTCTACCTGTTATTCGACCCGGACAACTTCATCCATAATCCGGGCGTACAGGGAACGGTCATAGACACACCTAGCGGGTCTTGCGTCGTAGATGTGGGCGGGTACATATTCAACACCGAGGCTCATCCTATAGACCCCACCATGCTATACTGTTGCCACGAAGCGAGGCAGGGGTAAGTCGAATGAATGTATTTTTTTTAATCTGTAGAGATTGAGTTTAGACTTTGTTTATAGAGTTTTTTGTTAACAATTTCATGAAAGTTGCTCCGTCCATTCTTTAAGTCTATGACTTCACCACGTCTGATATTTAATTTTATTGAGTAGAGTGCAGTCGTAGAAGTAGTTGAGGTGAAGTAGTAAAGTGCCAATTGTTAGCATCTGTATTTAGAATGAATATTGGCAGGGTTCTTTTCTATTTTTACAGAAAAATATTCATTAATTTTACTAAAAACCCACTGTTATGTGACCAAAAACGCCTGGAATTGGCGGAGCCTAAAATGACGTCACGCGCTAGTAAACTTCCGGTTAAAGTCACAGCAATTGTATCGTTTGACTTTTAAATGACCGTCGTGTGACGTCACATACCTGTGAATCGCCATATTGTCCAGAGAAACGTTTTCGCGGCAACTTGAAAATTTTGTTTTTGATTTCGTTTTGTTTACTAAAATACACAACAGAATGATGAATATCCATCGACTCTATAAACATTAGTAAATAACATGAGATAACCCTATTGTTCCTCAAAAAATTACAACTTATTTCCCTTTAAAAATAAAATTAAGCTAATTATATACCACATAATATAGAACCAAATTATCCGTCTACCTAATCTAATATTGTCATTATTTTCAGAATAAACATCAGCGAAGTACACCGAATATATCAGATTCTTGAAGAAGAGGATAACATCCAAATAATGACTATGATAGATGCTACGACAAATATAAATGTAACGAACAAAACGGAAAGTCAAACAGAAGCGAAATTTGACGAAACCAGCAATATCACTACTGAAAATGTCTCGGAGGAAAACAAGAAAGATCAGAATCAAGTTCTCATAAAAACAGAAACTAGAACTGGTTACGTCAACATCGATGGGACGGAAAGAGAAAAGATAAAAAATAACGATTCCACTTTGAGAGGTATCGTGAAGGAACGCATCACCAGTTATTATAACAACAGTAATCTGAATACAGAAGATAATAAGGAAGTTTCAGAAACAGACAAGAATAACTCTAAACCAGAACCAAATACTACTGTGGAAGTTGATGACATAATTGTCGCACAGAAGCCACAGGACACATTACAGCCTCCGAGTGTTACGAAAGTAAAAGAGGCATACAAGTTGTTACCGAAAGTTATACAAGAGTTCCTAAATAAGGACTGGAAAAGCAAACCGAAATGTGAGCCTCAGCATATGCTGGAAAGAATACGAAGGGAGAACAGGTACCCTGATCACCCAGATATGAACAAATATGAGCTGTTACTTACGCCGGCGCCTTCGTTTCTGCAAAGGATTTCTTTAGCAGGAGAATTTCTGAGCAAAAAGCAGTTACAAGTTTAGAATTTCTAAGCAAAATATATTAAGAGATTTCTCACTACTTTACTCTGGTGTCGATTTTGCTAGTTTTTAATACCGTTATGGAGAAGTGAAAAACTATATTCTCAGGTGCATAGACGTGTGAATAGTGTATAATAATTATTTATTAATGTGTTGCAGAGAGTTATAAAGTTTATATTAAAGACTGATCTCAGACATTTCTTTTTATGATTTTTCGCCATTCCTTTACCTAATAAATTATGGAAATTCCGCATTTTCTATTTAACCTTTTTCACTATCAAAAGCTTAAAAAAAACCTATCCTTCAGCCTGACACAAACCTAGAAGTTTATCTGTCACAGGTCTGACACAGACTTCAACATGAAAGCGTAATCAAGATGTAAAGTAAATAGTATAAAAATTCTTGTCACAATAAAGTTACAAAACTTAAAAATGCTGCCTGACTTTCTGCCGGGTGCCAGTGGATCATCAGCGCTAGAATATTGGATGGTGCTGTCCATAGGTCCCAGAGCTCTGTGCTCGACTTCGTGTTCGTATCATGACCGATTTGAAAACTACTCCATCTGAAGAAAATACACTATCCTCTAAAGGTTATAAACTGGCGAAGTTTTTGGGTGAAGGAGCTTACGCTAAGGTACCTAGGTAATTTTTAAAATTTTATTGATACTGATATTGCCTTCGAAGTGACTCAGGTACCTACAACTCTTGGTAACTCGCATTATACTATGTAAATAGGTGTATAAATTCTCTCGCAGGTATATTTAGCAGATTTCATAGGACCGGCGCAAAAAACAGTGCTTGCATGCAAGATTATAGAAACATCGAAGGCTCCCAAAGATTTTGTTGCAAAATTCTTACCGCGTGAGATAGATGTACTCATACGTCTTAGCCACCCTCACCTCGTCCATACGCATAGCATATTCCAGAGGAAAACTAAATATTACATATTCATGAGATTTGCAGAGAATGGTGATTTGCTCGGGTACATTCTGAAGAACGGATCTGTGTCTGAGAATCAGTCTAGAGTGTGGTTGAGACAATTGGCTTTGGGGCTGCAGTACCTTCACGAATTGGAAATTTCACATCGCGACATCAAGTGTGAGAATGTATTGCTGACAGCCAACTACAATGTAAAGCTAGCGGACTTTGGGTTTACGAGGTCATGCTTAGACGACGATGACCAACCGGTTTGGAGCGATACTTACTGCGGTTCTATGTCCTATGCTGCACCTGAAATTCTTCGAGGCAAACCATATCAACCGAAGCCGACAGACCTATGGTCGCTAGGAGTAGTTTTGTTTGTGATGCTCAATAAATCGATGCCATTTGACGATACGCGTATGCGAAAACTTTATGAACAACAGATGGGCAAGAAGTATCGGTTCAGATCGCGCGTCGCTAGCATTCTGTCGCTGGAGTGTAAAACTGTGGTAAAACATTTGCTGGAGCCTGATCCAGGGTTAAGGCACACCGCTACTCAAGTTTTGGGTTCCGAGTGGATTGCTATGGACAGTAGATTAACTTGTAAGTTTTTTGTTAAGTATACCTAGGTATACTTTTTCATTTTAACTTGGTGCCCAGATATATTTTTCCATTATGTAAATAGCATTTTCTTAGCGTAAATTATCGATTGTGATACTGTTCTTAATAACAGGGTTTAAATAATTAACTACATATTACTTCTACGTAGCGTTAAATGCAGTAGAAGCGTCAGCGTTAAAGAGAGCGAAAGAAGAACGTCGAAGATTATCTGATTCTCACCGTAATCCGCCAAACAGGCAGGGGGACATTCTCGACGGGCCACAGAGAAGATCAGGGTACAGAGTAAGTACTTAAACTCTGTTGGAAATCATTTTCTAAAAGATAGAACACCAAATATTCAATCTTCTAATATGTCTTAAAAAACTATTTTATCCCCAGCCCAGTGAAATGTTAAAATCCCTTGCAACTATATCTGCAAAACAAAGGAATCCAGATTAAATGGAGGGAAAGACAAAAGTAGGTATTGCAATGGTAAAAATATTTTGTATGAATTAGCATATCTTTCAAATGTAATAAACAGAATTTTGCAGTTTTACATCGATGAAGACTTAAAACTGACCGGATCCGAGCAATTGACACTGGCTACGCGTGGTTATAAAATGATTAAAAAGATTAATGAAGGCTCATACGCGAAGGTATATGATAGATGTAAGTAGGTAGTTGTCACTAAAACTTACTAACTTCTTAATTTTTCAATGTTTGCTGTAGGTTTATCTTGCCGAGTACAGAAATCCTAGTAAAAACGATAAACTTTCAATATTAGCATGCAAAGTTATCGACACTAATACGGCCCCCAAAGACTTCGTCAAAAAGTTTCTGCCAAGAGAAATAGAAATGCTCATAAAACTGAACCACCCACATTTGGTACACACTCACAGCATATTTCAACGGAGATACAAATATTTCATATTTATGCGATATATGGAGCATGGAGATTTGTTAGAGTACATACTCCAAAAGGGAGCAGTGCAAGAAGATCAAGCCAGGATATGGGCACGTCAGTTGGCTCTGGCAATACAATATATGCACGAACTGGAAATAGCCCACAGAGACATTAAATGCGAAAATGTTCTACTAACAGCTAACCATAACGCAAAACTATCAGATTTTGGATTCGCCCGCTCATGTGTGGACAAGAAAATGAATGATATATATAGTGAAACATTTTGCGGGTCTCTGTCATATACTGCTCCTGAGATATTGCAAGGTGTACCATACCATCCAAAACCCACAGACATCTGGTCCCTCGGAGTAGTCATTTACGTTATGTTAAACAGAGCAATGCCTTTCGAAGATAAGCAGATAAAACCATTGTATCAAGCACAAATGAGCAGAAATTGGAAGTTTCGTTCACGCTATGCAGACACAATATCTGACAGCTGCAAACGTTTAGTGACTGCAATGTTAGATCCACACCAATTGAGCAGAATCAAAGTTGATAAAATTATAAACGGCGAATGGATAGCTATGGACTCTAGATTATTAGGTAAATTGTTTAGCGTTAGATATTACCTTTAAACACGGAGGTGACTTTACGTTGGTAAAAGTTTTGAATTTTCAGAGTGGTCAGCGCAAGAAACAATGGCATATAAAAAAGCACGGGATGAAAGAAGTCAACTTGTAAAGGATGCTGATCCCGAAAAGCCCGAAAAAGAGGGAGATGGTCTCCCTGATAAAACTGTTATGTCAATAACAAATAATGCTTCGTCGGCTTCGTAGTGTGTTAAATTATTAAGTAAGTAAAAATGTAAAACTTACTCCCTGTACTCTGCGATATCTATGGTTGGTGAGTAATGTTGGTGCTATCACTTTATTGTTAATAACGTGGCACATATAGTTAAATTATTTCATTATAACAGTTATTTAATTTTTTTAAGTACACCTGTTACGCTTCCTATTTAATATCACTTTTTACGACGCATATTTATGCTAAAAGTTTTTGGTAAATAAAACTTATTATTACAATTAATAAATGCGTTTTCGTTCGAAATAAGTATATACCAATTCTAAAACAAGTACAAAATATACTTATTATTAGTTATAGTTTCATAATTACTATTTAGAACTTTTAACCGAGTCGGTTTAGAATCAAACTGACCACTGTACCACCCTTTTGCATGAAAGATGAAATAGTTACTTTTTATAAAAGAAAATATGAGATTTAAAAGCCGCCGTTTTGACAAAGCTGATATCTCAAAAGTTCCAGCAGATTCTAGTATGGTACCGCATATAAAACGCTCAGGTATAGTGGGAGTACTTCACAAGGTGCAAGGTTTTATTATTCTGCCGCGCTCGAGTAAACGCCTTTATTCCCGCTTGGGCTACCCTCTCCCCTAATATGACTCTTCTCTAAAACTTTTTAGATCAAAACTTTATAAATGGGAAGGTTCTATTATCTTTGACATCTTTACAGAGATGACAGACAAAAAGAAATTAGAAAGTGACAGTTACAGAAATCAAATTCCCAAGATGTAAACAGAAATAAATCAACAAGATGATCACCAATTTCAACCATTACCTTTAAAATAAGCCATATGCAATCAGCTATGGTACCGACGAAAGTAAAAATGAAATAAACGGAAACATGCAAATAGACCCGATGACCGAAAAAGTAGATCTCTGTGCTACACCATCTGATTTAATCGTATTGGAAGAAAGGGGTTTCATATTAGAAAAAAGCATCGGTCAAGGGTCTTATGCTAAGGTAGGCATTATTATTAATAGTAACATCTGTTTAAACTTCATTACCTATTCCCATTTTACTAACGTAGCGATCTATCATATGTTTTATGAAATAAAGCTAATAGCATACTCCCCTCCGACACTACAAGGTACGACTTATTTCAAGAAACAACTTCGGATTTTAAAACACTGTAACTGTGTATCTACTGCTATCTTGGATATGTTTTAATGGTTTAGTAACTTTATTTTCTGAAATTTTGTTTGTACTGTTAAGTATATATAAATATTCTTCAGAACATACTAAGAAAACATTCGGTGTAAACATCAACCCTTCAATATAAACATTATATTACGTTTAATATTGTGTAATTACGTATTACCAGTGCGCAAACTTCTATTAACAGGTTTATAAAGCGACACACATGATTGACGAGACCCGACATTCAGTTTTGGCTTGCAAGGTTATCGACACAGCATCAGCACCACGCGATTACCTAACAAAGTTTCTACCGCGCGAGCTTGACGTGCTCATACGCATCAATCATCCCCATGTAGTCCACGTCTCCAACATATTCCAACGCCGAGCCAAATACTTTATATTTCTGCGCTTCGCCGAAAACGGGGACTTGCTCGACTTCCTAACGCAGAACGGACCGATACCAGAGAACCAGAGCAGACTTTGGCTGAGACAGATAATATCCGGGATCCAGTACATTCACACATTGAATATAGCGCACAGAGATTTGAAATGTGAAAACGTATTGATCACAGCCAATTATAATGTGAAAATAACAGACTTTGGTTTTGCACGCAACGTTCGACAGCGGGACCGCGACGTGTTGAGCGAAACTTACTGTGGGTCATTGTCGTATGCTGCTCCGGAAGTGCTTAAAGGCGTGCCCTACCTACCTAAAATGGCTGATATGTGGTCCATCGGCGTCATTCTCTATACAATGCTGAATAAAGCTTTACCATTTAATGAGGCCTCTGTGAAAAAGTTGTATGAGAAACAGGTAAGCAGCTGTACATACTGCATTGCGGTAGCGGTGAGCCTTAGTACCTATATAGTCACACAAGAATAAATGACCTTATGTAGAATATATTATAGTTGAATACGCGTTGCCACCCAACCTGTTTTAATGCCGCTGCAATGTAATGGCGGAAACTGTAAAAGCCTATTTTTTTACCAGTTGATATAAATTCATTATAAGATCATTACATTATTTCTGTTACGCAGTTAACACGCAAATGGCGTTTCCGCACGAATGTAGTGAATCAGCTGTCAACTGAATGCAAGCAGCAGGTAACGCAGCTCATGGAACCCGATGCCAAAGCGCGCCCTACGGCAGACGAAATCTTTGAAGGGCCTTGGATCGGCATGGACTCTAGGCTCACCAGTTAGTTAATATTAAGATTTTAAAAACACTTTTCTGAATTACAAATATACACTGTAGATATATTCTTTTAGTTTTTGGACTCAGGGTCTCGGAAACCCCGTGATCGTATGATCCTGCCAAGCTTCGTTTTAGAATATATTCGTTAGATTCCTATTTCGTCAGAATAAATTATAGGCTGTTATTTTCAGACCAAAAAGGAATCCTCTTTGGACAATTTTGAATTAGAGTTTGGTAAATTGAGTTGTGTTATATGCAAAAGTCTTTTCAATTGTAGAAACTATGTGAACATATTTTTATGTGGTTGATTGGAAAATTCTTTCAAATGTCAAATTGAAAGGTATCGCAGTTGGCATATCAGTTAGGGAATTACGCCTTTGGATGCTATAGATTTAAGCGATTGTGATTTTAGCATTCTTAATACTTGCAGAATTAACATTTATAGAAGAATCGTTGTTGAAACAAGCACAAGAAGAAGCGCAAAAGAAGGAGAAAGTTTTCCAACAGGACAATGAAGCTGAGAGAATCGCCGAACTGCGAAGAAAAGGGCGTGCTAAAGGTCACGGTTACATTAGTTACCTCGCTTTTCTTATCTCTATGTTAATACGTTTCATGTTATAATGTATGGTTATTGTGTAATATACTTGTATGAGCATGTTGTTTGCAGATACTATTGGAGTTCAGTATTTATTTTCAATTGTTTATCTTAATGTCTTTTACCATTTTGCTTGCTGTAACTCTGTTTTGTGATATAAATAAATAAATAAAATACTAAATCTTTTCCGAGGTCTCTTATCTCAATACCAAAATTCATAAAAATCGGTTCAGACTTACAACGCGTAAAAGTGTAACACACTTTTGGGTTTCTTACTTTAGTATGGACGTCGTACTGCGCCAGAAACTTTCAATAAGTGCATTTTCTTTTGCAGAAGGTCTTAAGATACTCAAGAACGTCGAAGCAAACTATCCTAAATCACAATTACTATTCGAAAACCAAGAATGAAACAATCATGTTAATTCAGTGTTTATTAACTTATTTTTTTTATTTATGACTAAGTTATTGTAATAGCTAATTTAAAACATTATTGTACAAAATGTGTTTTGTTGTTCTTATTCATATAAAATACGATGACTGCGGTGAAAAAAGACACACCGCAGACTACGATAGTTTACAAAACAAATGCTTAAGATTATAATGAACATTAAGGGTCCGTATATGGTTCGAGTGATTCAGTCAATATCTTTTTTTATTGATACATTATATTTGGAAGACAAGGGTCTGTTTACTTTAGGGTATACGTTAATTAACGTTTGGCACAGCGTGTGAGGAACAGGATTATGGTACTCTAAATATACACATTAATATTAATATTTGTGCCAATGGTGTCGATTCTGGCATGGATTTTCTCTACCTAAACTCAAATTTGACAACAGTGCATCCTTGTCATTCTCTTTACAGAATGAAAAGGAGAGATATGTTTAATTTAATTTTAAGTTAAAAGAATAATGCCATAATCGACACCAATGTGTAGCTACACATATCCCAGCCGAGATATATTTAGATAATATGGTAAATGTTTTAAATATTAATTATCCGAGAAATACGTCTTTGTTTAGTAACAATATTTTATATAGCTTTCCTTTTCAGCGGTTTTCTTTTATAATCGCATTCAATTTCGAACTGATTTACACCATTACATGATTTAGCCCTTATGTGTCCCAAGGCACAGCATAATGAACCTCGCACTCGTGTAATTGATTGTAACTAAGTTTAACAAGGCTTTTAGCCGCTCTGAAAGACTTACTAAATACTAAAAAAATATGCTGCTAAAACTCACGTGTTGTCTTCTTCGTTCGTCGTTCTTAATAAAACTTGATAAAATGAGATATTTGAGCTCAGCCACATCTAATTTGAATTATAAATTAACAATGAAATAATAATTTTAAAAACGATTGCGAGGCTCAAGTTTTTTATGTTATTTGTTTTACGCATGTGCGTAACGATACTAATGACTAACTGATGGGACACTATTTGGTCAGGAAAGATAGCTTATTTACTAAGCGAGTTTATATAAAATTTTTGATCATATACACCCTAGATACCGTACGTAGTAACTGCACGGAAGCGTCACAAAAAATATCTACTACATATGGCAGATAAGCTCGTCGCTACACACGCACACATTCGACTGCTTTGGTACAATCTGACATAAGAGTCACGCACACTTTGCGTAAAACATGAGCCGCTGTCTTTGCGTGATTTATTCGGATTGCTCTATCTAGGAGTTTATATAATCAAAGAATAAAACCCTTTAAATCCTTATTCAGCACTATACGCCCTTTAGAGCGCATCACAACACACATTATTCTAGAATCCTGATATACTGTAAATACACTCTCAAAACACTAACGAATCTCTTAAAACAATGCTCTATTAGCCTCGATCGTTCAACACTGTTGTATGTTTTTCACGTTGTAAAGTGTAAAATACTTATAGCACATTATTGAAATGAGACCACAGTAATATTGTCAACTTTCAGTCAATCTCTAGTTTAGCTACTTATTATAAAATGATCTAAGTACTGTTGATTATTTTATTTTTATTATCTGTTTAATTTTATACAACAAAGTTTTTGGTAATACTTCGCAGGCAGAAGAAAATGTAAATAAGTGAAAGTGAAAACATTGGAATGTCTAATGCCCATCAAACTTATTATACTGAACATTAAATCATATTATTTATACTCATACTGAAATCAGTTACAAACACACACTCCCTCACTCAAAATAACAGTTAAGTAAATAAATAAACCTCGACCACTTAAAATATACTCATGGACTTTAGAAAACTACATTAATAAGTCATAATTTAATAGTACTTAATATAAATAAACTCTTTATATCTCTTAATTATCAACTACTATATAACAAACAATATTTTGTTTTTGGCAGTAAGACTCGAATTCAATTAGACGTTATCTTAAATCTATACCGTATGATAATATTCTGCCGTCGAAAGACTAAATACCCTCAAGTTACGCGGAAATTTAGCACCAACTTGGTTCCAAAACTGTTTGATAAAATTCAATATGTTCGAAAAAGTATTACTAATAATACTGATAAAACTCCTTGTATACCGAAAAAAAATTATAGACATTCATTTCCATGGTATTTTTGTCTTTGATTCACAGTAGCAAAGGTACCGCGTGAACTTGAGCGAATTTGTACATCTGCCTACGGCTTAGGGTTCTGTTTACTATTAATTCAAAGTACAGTTCTTTCGCACATTTCGTGCCCGCGTGTACGAATAAAATTTAATATTAAATACGTTTACGTTCATCGCAAAAACTACGGCAAATATATTGTCATTTTATTAGACGTTTTTTATAGTAAAATACGGATGTAAAAAATGTGATTGTTATAGTTAATTAAGATACCTTTTCGAAGTAATGTGATGGTTCAGATGCACAGCCTCTGAGCACCAAAGCTCTTAAGACGCGGCCATACCCCCCCCCCCTTTCCACATGATTACCTTCTAACTTCATTGCTGTCCCTATAGTTTATGACGTCATCGTTACACATCGAAATACCGACTTACAAAACCATTTGCTTTAGTTTTATTATTAAGTAACTATTTTAGTTGAGAATGCAGATTTATAGAGCTAAGGATGCCACCATTAAATTAGTTATAAAATCGCAACGAACGAACCGATTAAAAAGCTTATTAAAAGCTTGATTTTGAGTTGATTTGCTGACCTAGTAATGATCCTCATTTGATAGTTTAGATAATCTGAAGATGTAGGTACCTCAACGATTGGGATTGTTTTATCCAATCGAATGTAGCAAATTCTAGACAGATGCTAGTGGCGCTCAGTCTGTTGGTAGCTCTTTGCCTATGACTATACCATTATTCATGATGACTTCATGAAATCCAATGAAAGTAGCGTAAGTAAAGGGGCGGTAGCTTGGCCACGATGACGTCATAAGTAAGAGTAACATAAAAGCATTTGTCAACTGCGGCCGTCACTGGGACATCAATGAGAACGAAATGACGGCGCCGAGGTAGAAACATTCATTTATTACTATAGCCGCTTGTTTACCACTAGCCCGTCACGTGATCTTGTGGTGTTTACCCTTAAAACAAGAAATAAAGCATAGAATATGACATTTGAGCTTACACTCCCATAGACAATAGGTTAACGAAAAGATTTCTAAACAAAGTATTACCCAACTTAAAAGTATTAGTGGCGTGCTGGCAGGTTGCATTTGATATTACATCGCTTTTTGATTCGGTATCGTAAAGGTAACCAAGGTATCCAATTTAACGTTTGTATAGCGGTACGCACGCATATATTTGTCCCTTTCTTAGTACATAATTATGCAAAAAAAGATGACTATAAGAGTCGACTACTACTATGAGTTGAATTTAAACTACGTCTATGTTTTGGTGCTTGTTTTGAGTCTTTATATCATCCAAAAATAATCTTGTTCTCGTTGACGTTCCGGCGACGACCACGATGGCCAAACGGCCTAATTGCATAGAGGTTTAAGAATAGAGTGGGGAAGGCGGCTCTAAAAGTGTCCGTCTAGTAGAAAGAGAAAGAAGATGAGAGACCGCTAGCTATCTCTCTCTCTTGTGACGGATGGCATCCAATGGCATAACATCGAAATAGTAAGATACTTACGGTTGCCAATGCGCATGCACGATTAGAGAGAGTAAGCTAGCGGTTTCTCATTTTCTTTCTCTTTCTATTAGAGGGACACTTTCACTTTTAGTAGTCTATATCTCCCCTACTCTATTCTTATACCTCTATGCCTAAGTGCCTACTTAGTAGTTTGTAGTAAGGGTAGGCTAAGTATAGGGGGGTAATGGGCGGCGCTAGTGTGCTCGCGCGTGTGTGTCGTCACGCGGGGGATAGACAGCCGACGCGACGCCCGCTGGTGCTGACTTTACTCTCATCGTCTGAGGGGCAATTGTTCCGCGTTAATACTTAGCAGTATGTATTAAGGGTATCAAAGGGCGGCGCTAGTGTGTCGTCACGGCGATCAGTTTCGTCATCTCATCGTTTGAGGGTAGATTGTTTCGCGTAAGGGCCTGGGGGTCAATTAACTAAGGAGATTGTTATGGCTATTGCTATCGCTTAGAATTACATTTGGTTATTTCGCCGCCCTGTGCTGCGTTAAACGGGAGCAAGGAGCGAACGTCCGCTCTATGTGTTTGTTTCATGTTATTTCATAGAGCAGCGATACCTGAGGCGAGTCTCCCGTCGCGGCGCTACTTTCTTAGGTTCTGTGCTCCCGCTTAACACAGCGCAGGGGGCAATCGCCTAATGGAATTTCTATGGCTATCGCTAACGCTTACGATTTCATTTTGTTATTTCTGACCTCATTTTTCACGCTCATTTTCTTTAATACTGTTATTACGAATGCAAAAGAAAGAAAAGAGCGTGAGGCATTTGAAAACCTTCGGCGGTCAGAAATAACAAAATGAAATCGTAAGCGTTAGCGATAGCTATAGAAATCCCGTTAGGCGATTGCCCCCTGCGCTGTGTTAAGCGGGAGCACAGAACCTAAGAAAGCAGCGCCGCGACGGGAGACTCGCCTCAGGTATCGCTGCTCTATGAAATAACATGAAACAAACACATAGAGCGGACGTTCGCTCCTTGCTCCCGTTTAACGCAGCACAGGGCGTAAATATGACTGTTGGAGCTCAATGGTGCGAGTCAGATCGTGGAAGTTAAGCAACTTTGGCAATGACCGGTCAACGGATTGGTGAACAAAAGTTACTATATCAAGCTCCTCAGTGATTCGGAAGGGACATTAAAAAGTTGGCCCCGGCTGCATCTACAATCGTTAGCACGCACTAATCCAAGTGATGGTACAATCTCCATAATATTATTCTATACATAGGGCAGGCCCCAGTCGCACTTTTTCATCCGGAATAGACTTGTGCCCTAGCAATATGGTCATTAGTAGTCGATAATGATGATCAATATGACTTTGTTTCACCATCATCAACGATCACCTAAATATGACTTAATTATCATCATCATCATACTGTACCCAAAACACATGGGAAAACCCAAAGCGGTAGGTCATTAAAATTGGCATGATCGAGGCACCATTGTCGCTTTAAAGATATCAAATATAATTACGATGACGAAATACAGTGCAACCTTAATAAAAAGTACCTCAATATAACGACTCATCGATTAAGCAAATTCTTCGTAATCCCTTGAATTATCCTATCCATAACATTCAATATAAATTATAACTTTACATTGAGAACAAACTCTTTATAACCAATTTTCAACTATCAAAAAACGTGTAAATACCTCTTATTAACGAATTTAGTCAAACCAAAACCTTTATATAAAGTTCCCACCAATATATGAACCCTTAATCGCTTAGTATGTGATTTATGTCGCGGCAGGAAACAATTTTTTACCCGTTTATAACAAACTTTAGACCAACCTTACCTTAATATGACAAACTTTAGTGATATAACAATAATATTTTCTTGTTCTCTTCCGATTTGTTATATCGAGGTTGCACTGCTTTACTTTTACTAGCATCGTAATTAATTAAAGAATTTTAAACTGTAAAGTACAAAGCCAAAAACTTTAAGAACCACACCATTAAAAATACTTTTAAACCCGCAACCAAATTAATCAACGCCCATGTTAAATTGGTTAAAACACAGCCACCCAGTTAATATGAATATACTTTTATAAAAGATATTATATTTACAATTTCAGCATATTTTAAGCCATGAAACCATTATCCACAAATGGAAATGAATGAATATAAACAAAAAACCATAACAACAACAAAAAAATTCAACGTGAAAATTTCAATTCATTCAAACCATCAGTAACGATAATTCAACGTTATAAAAAACCTTTACCTTGAAATACTTTTCTATAATTTTTACATGTGTTCGACATATTCCAAATAACATTCCAATATCGAAATAAATCAATATTATCACGTTGATTAATAAAAATTGATTGATAAAAATTATCACGCGGTATATTTTCTAATTCCTCATCTTTGCAAAAATTTCTATGTGTCGGACAGATGTCATGATAAACAAAAAAGAAATTCACGTAGCAGAGAAAGTCAAATGTATTGTTTCACGAAGTCACCACTACCAACAAATGATATTAATTTAACATAACTATTCACTTTTATAATCAATTTTGCATATTTCGTGTGAAGCATCAATAATAACATAGAATTGAAATCACGCTATAAACACATGCACAAAAATAATAAACAACGAAATTTAAAATTAATCTAAAATCTGGACAGTATGAACTACGCGGACTTAGCATGCATATCCTTTGGGAAATTGGCAATTTGAAAATAATATTCCAATTTCCTTGTAAAGAAAAATTCTTCAGTGTAATCTTAAGAATTAAATTTAATTGGTTTAAAGTTTTAAACCAATCACCTCACGCAACTCTTTTAGCTAATATCATGTCAATATAGATCAAAGTCGAGTAGAATTTCTTTTTTGTCCTTCAGTTGGGCCATAGACACAGAAGAATGGACTGAGCAATACCCGCATGAAATCGTCAATTCTATATGATAACGACAGACAGCTATATTGAGCGAGATGTATTTGAATACCATCGGCGCGGCGGCGGTCGGAAATAACAAAATGAAATCATAAGCTATAGCTACATCAAACCCGTTAGGCGGTAGACTCCCTGGACAGTGGACACAGTCCGTTCTCTATGTAAATGGGTTTTATAATGCGATTCAACTAAGAATAGGACCGACTGGGCGCCATATTGTGGCGTCATAGCTGTCAATTCAAATCAAATAGGTAGTGAGCAAAAAAAAAGTTTTTATTTAATAAAACTCGATTACTAAGATTAAGTGAGAAAAACCATCACATTTTTTTAATAAAATATATTTACTTTGATTGAGAAAAAAAAACTATTTTTATTATATTTATTTATTAAGAATGTGTGAGAGAAAACATTAATCAGAATCTAGCTCTTTAATTCCGCTGATCTCTACATTACCGCCGGAGTAGTTATGAATAAATTGCAGGAAAGTGAGAGGAAAGATGTTAAACATCAAAAAAAAAAATATCAACCAATATTAACTATCAAAATATGTTTTTATTTGTTTAAAAATGTTTGGTTTTTATTCTAGAATAGCTGTGCCAAAAAAGGGTTCCAAGATTTTTTGCAAACCGTACTTTTTAAGCGACATTTGACAGATGGAGGTCTTTCCTATTCTTATTTAAATCGCAGTATAAATAAAAGCAGCGTCAGTAGTATTAGTGTTGTTAGTGGCTACACTTACTGGCGACGTGGGCATGTCACCTGAGTCATCGTGCAGCGGGCACACGAGGTCCACTAGATCCAGCTCGTCCTTACTCTTCTTGCGCTTCAACGAAAACTGACTCTTCTTTGGCACCTGACAAAGTGTCAATACAAATTCAAAATTCATTTATTCCGTTTATGCCTCAGAACATGAACTAAGGCCCACTTGCAGCAATTTTACTTATCTCGATTCAACTAAAACTAAATCTATCCCATAGAAAAATGTCAATTTGACATTATTGTATGGGGTAAATCTAGTTTCAGTTAAACTGAGACTTAGCAAAATTGCTGCAAGTGGACCTAAGTATATAAGTAACGCTATGATGTTTGAGCGTACACTCCCATAAAGAAAAGATTTCTGAAGAAAGTATGTATGTTGGTAGGTTGCATTTGACATTCGATGGCTTTTACAATCGGTTTCGTAAAGGTAACCAAGGCATACAAAGCAATAAAGATATCCAATTTGACGTACGCACGCACCAAAAGATAGGTCTATATGCAAAAATAAGATAACTATATTAGTCCACCTTATGAGTAGAAATAAAAAGACTTTCTATTCTTAAGTTCTTGTTCTGAGGTTCAGGCACAAAATAGACAGTGCAGAAGGTAATCTTCTGTATGTACATCACTTTTCATACTTTTTTTTTTCTGGGAAATTCTTACGCATTCAAGGTATGTGGGACTCCTCCCAGCTCATTGCAGCCAGCCCTTAGGCAAGGGCGGAACCGTCCATCTGTACTGGGCTGGGTACAGATGGACCAAACCCAGAGGGATTTTATTTAAGTACTTTCAATATTTAATATACCACGACTATATGACCCTAGCACTTTTCATACCTACGCTCGGTGGTGGCGCTAGGATTGCCAACTTTGGCTTGTGCACAAAAAAAATGTGGTAGTGGGTACGTAATTAGCTGTTAGATTTATGAGAATTAATCAGGGAGAACGGAAATATGTATTGACCAATAATAACTAAGTTAAGCTTTCCATTTTAATATTATTGTTATAGTAGGTACAAATTAGTGACCGACCGAAACATGTTATTTTGCCGAAACCGAAACCGAAACCGAAGGTTCGGTTTCATTGTAGTTTCGGCCGAAACCGAAACCGAAACCGAACCTTTTATATAAAAAAAAAAGTCCTTAAAAAGTCGAAAAAATGTTAATTTAAAACAGGCTTACCTGTTTTCTTCTAAAATTAATATCTCGCCGACCTATAATTACAGGTTTCTACTTTCAAAGATTTATCACAATGAAATTTCAGCACAGTTACAGAGGTTCTGTTTGAAAATTAAACTACCCGAAAGTGAAAAAAATACATGATTTGTAACACAAAGTTAGCTATTTTTAATGGTGGTATAAAATAAAACAAATTTATTATTAAAATATGATGCTCATATATTATGTTTATTTATTTTCAGTTACTTACATTTTAATTATACTCACAAATATCACAATCAGTTAGCCTCGAATGGCTAATTCAAATATAATTAGATAATCAAAATAATCAAATTGATCACCTTTGGTAATCATTTTAGCGAACCTTTTTTTTATTACGTAAGGTGCATAACATAGGTTATGATAACAAATCAACAAGTATAATATAGTAACAAATGTATACTTATACTTTTTATTTTTTATAACTAATTATCTAATTAAAAGATCTCAGTAAGTATGTCAAAAGTGTTTTTGACATACTCACTGAGATCAACAATTTCTTTTTTAGGATCAACTACTTATAGATTTAATCTTTGTCATTTATTGTATACAACAGTCTTATCAACTTTGCTTACAGTACAGTAAGTTTGACTATAGTATTTTTTTTACGTATTAATCAACAGATAGTAAAATAATAATTATTATAGTTACTTAACTAACGCTAACAGTCTTAGTAATCGAAGTTGAACAGTCTTATATTATATGCCAAGAACAATAGTTTTTCCGCATTTTCTCCAAGCAGATTACCTCGCCTATCAGCATATATTTGTCCAGCAGCGCTAAACAACTGCTCGCTAGGTACACTTGTCGGTGGTGCAGACAGGTATTTTAGAACAGCATTTCGTAATAAAGGATATGGGCTGGAGTTCCAATAGGAGTAAATATCAGCATTACGCTGTAACAAGGGTTCTGATAGGTAACATTGTAGAGTCTGTCTGAGTGTCGCTGTTGGGTCAAGATTTTCATCAGTGTGCATCTGCTCGATATTTGACTGGTCGTGTGTATCCCAAAGACTCTCTATTTGGCTATGGATATTTTGACTTTCAGAGAACAAAGTCGCATTTATGTCGTTCTCTTGCTCACGGTGAGTATTTTTGCTGTACCTTGCCAGAAAATTAACGATCTCATTTGTGGCAATGTTAACTTCGTCTGTGGATATATATTTGGATTTAAACCTTGGGTCAAGTAAAGTTGCAGCCATTAGTAAGGGATGTCCTTTCACAAAAGAAAATCTATTATTTAGAGATTCTAGGAGAGCATGCTTCATATTTATGCACGCTTCTGCTTCATTTTCTGATTGTGTTTGTAATTTTCGATTAAGCAGCGATATCAGAGGGATTACTATTGAGATGCAGGCGTTGTCGAATGATAGTTCAAGTGTCGCTTCGTAAAAGAATTTCAGCACATTCGTTAGGTGTTTTATGAGGTCCCATTCGTCAGAAGTTAGCGTCTCAATCTTGCCATGTTCTACACTATACAAGTTCACTGCACTTTTTTGCTCTAGCAGCCTCTCTAACATCAAGAAAGTACTATTCCATCTCACCTCGATATCCTTCACCAAAACATGTTTCGGAGTTCCACATTGATGTTGACATTCAGTCAATTTTCTGGTAGCTGGCTCACTATGGTGAAAGTGGCCTACAATCTTTCGACACTTCTTTAGAGTATTTTTGGCTAAGGCATCAATAAAAAGCGAATTGTTAATAACTAACTGCAGACTGTGCGATACACATCCAATCGATTGGTAATTATTACGCATAGCGCTATTCATATTAGGTGCATTGTCACGCAACACCAGAAATATTTTTCCTAGCAGTTTCCATTTGGTAACCATTTCCGAAAATTTTTGTTCGAGATATTCACCCGTATGACTCTGGTCTAGCACACATGCACCTAAAATAACTTTCAGACGCTTTTCTTCCAGAATAAAATGGGCTGTGAAACTCAGCAGTGAACAGGTTTTACTCTCGTTGCTCCAAATATCTGTGGTAGCACTAAGCCAAGTACATTTTGCAACTAATTCATTTACTTTACTGATGGCATCCCAGCAGTAGTACTCAAAAAATGTGCAGCGGAGTTGTCTCCCGTGCTCACACGCTTGTACCAATGCTCGTATTCTTTGGGGCGTGTGCCGAGGACTTGGAGAGATGCCAATGTCCAACCGGTGCCCAAAAAAGGGGATCGCTCAGACCCGGCAAACTACCGGCCAATAGCAGTCACCTCAGTTTTATGTAAAGTTTTAGAAAAGGTCCTTAATAACCATCTGACCCGCTACCTAGAGGATCACTCCTTGATTAATGATCGTCAATATGGTTTTAGACCGAAACGATCGACGGGTGATCTTCTAGCGTACTTAACTCATATCTGGGGTGAGGCTATCGACAAGCGTTGCGAGTCGTTGGCTATCAGCCTTGACATTGCCAAGGCGTTTGACAGGGTCTGGCACAAAAGCCTTCTCTCCAAGCTTCCGGCATACGGTCTGCCAGCCCAGTTCTGTTCTTGGGTAGCTGACTTCCTGCATGAGCGTAGAATTCGTGTCCTTACGGATGGTAGCAGTTCGCGGTTCATGTCAGTGAATGCCGGCGTTCCCCAGGGCTCCGTCCTATCCCCCACTCTCTTTCTGCTGCATATCAATGACTTAATTCCTCTTGGGAATATTCATTGCTATGCAGACGATAGTACAGTGCATGCGGGGTATCTCGGACAAGCAGCGGCTGGGCTGGCGGTAACCAAGGAGAAACGCGAGAATCTTGTCATTGAACTCAATCAGGCTTTGGACCACATTTCCGAATGGGGTACCAGGAACTTGGTTGAGTTCAATGCCAAAAAAACTCAGGCTTGCGCTTTCACGGCAAAAACATCGTCATTCCTTCCCCTTCCATCTCTTCAGGGCACAACACTACCGCTGCAGAGCAACATTTCCATGCTCGGTATGGAAGTTCGCTCAGACCTGAATCCAAAGAACTACATCGAAACCGTGATCAAAACAGCTTCACGCAAACTCGGAGTCCTGAACAAGGTGCGGCGTTTTTTTACGCCCGATCAACTGTGCTTGTTGTACAAAACGCAAGTGCGGTCCTGCGTGGAATATTGCTCGCACCTCTGGGATGGCTCCGCCAAGTACTTGCTCGATGCTTTGGATAGGTTACAGCGACGCGCGATCCGCATCATAGGCGATGAGGAGGTGACTGAACACCTTGAGCCTCTTCAATTACGCCGTGACGTGGCGTCACTAAGCGCGTTCTATCGTCTGTACCACGGCGAGTGTTCTGAGGAGTTATTCTCTCTTATCCCACCTTCTCCTTTTCTTCAGAGGACCACGCGCGCTGGCCTACGTTGTCATCGTCTAACTGTGGCCACAATTCCAACGCGTACAAAGAAATTTGGTGACTCATTTCTTTGTCGCACTATCCGTAAATGGAATGCTCTGCCCGCTCACGTGTTCCCTCCCTCTTACAACCTGGGATCCTTTAAAAGAGGCGTGAAGAAGCAACATGCAGGCCGGCAGGGTGAGGATGGCTGGTGTGGCAGGTAAAACTGCTGTATCAGCTATCGTCACGTCTGGACTTCACCTTCACTTAACATCAGGCGAAGTGGAGTCATTTGTCGGACCTATCTATAAAAAAAAAAAAAAAAAAATCTTCATTTTTTCGTACGTTTTCGGCATCAAAGATGTTCTGAAATACTTTTCGGATTTTGATCTATACTTATGAACAGCGTGCGGGTCAGTAAAATTTAGTCGCCGGAATGCTTCACCTTCAACCAACGTATATGGAAGCATGTCTACAATTATCAAATCCATTATGGCTTTATCTATCCTTTTAGAAATTTCATGATCATCTGGCCATTGAGACAGTTTAGGTCTAGAAATTAAACCTGGAATTGTGCTTTGAACAAGGTTTTGATTATCACAACTAGAGGTCGATGCATATGCTTGTGGAATTTTTTGTTCTTGTTTCTTTAATTTGGCTTCGTCTTTTACTTCGTTCAATTCGGACTGTCGTTTTAAAACCTGCCTATGCTCGGCTTCGTGCTGTTTTGATAAATGTTGTTTTAGACCATGCAAGGTTTGTTATTTAGGCTCATGGCTACCGAGTGAAAACGACCTGTTACACAGTTTACAGGCAGCTTTCGAAACGTCAGCTGTAGATTTCTCAAAAAATTGCCAAATCGGATGTCTTTCCTTTTGTGACATTTTTTACCTAAAACAATAAAATAAAATTATTCATTAATTAAAACAATTTATTTTACCGGATTAATCGCGTTTACTATTAATTATGTGTACAACCAAACCCAGAAGCCCAACACTAACCCTAAGCGTACGTTACTCGTAAATCGTCAAAATACCTACTCACACCATTACATTAACATTACACGTCTATATTAAATTTAAATTAATAACTATTCACCTTTCATTTTATTGCATAGGCAGGTACCTACAATCGTTATTACATTAATAGTACACGCAACTAAGATGAATTTTAAACTTTAATGAAGCAGGTACTTAACCTTGGCACTTACACCTTTAAAATTAAATATATTCGTCAATAGGTTAGCAAACTATTAAAATAAAGCGTTAAATATTAACTATGACATGACGAATTCACAACAAAAACAAACTAAAATACTTGATCAAACTACTTACCATTATTCGCGGAACAAACACAACACGTCAACGAGCAAAGCGCACTGATTTAGGTAGTTGCCGGCGGAGTCAGGCGAGCGACGCCATATTGCCAGCCGTGCCGAGCGCGCCGACGTTAGCCGAGCGCGACCCGAAGGTACGATGTTGTAAGTTTCGGCGCGGCCGAAGGGTTCGGCCGTTTTTGGCCGAAACCGAAACTCGGGCCGAAACTTGATTTTTTGGCCGAAACTGGCCGAAACCGAAACCGAAACCGAAATTTCGGTCGGACACTAGTACAAATTAAAAAAATGTGATAATTTTCTTTTTCAAATTGAAACTGTTGTTTTACTATTTTGACATTACATTTTTGCACAAAACTTTTCGCAGGCACGTGTCTCAAGCGGATGGAACTCGCGCTAGCACTGGTCCCAACCGGTCCGAGATACCGGATCCGTAAGCGGTGTCTATGTGTGCGTTGCTCGAGTTGCACTTAGTATGGAAGGCAACCCTTCTAATTCAAAATAGATAGTAATTTTGTGGCTAGCCTATGTGATAGTCGAAATCTACGCCATCTGTACCCCTAGCACGAACCAATATCGAATTCGTATCGTTTGCGAGTCCTAAATGTCATTGTCAAATGTGTATTGAGTTTTAGTTCTCGTTACTCGCCGCTGCTGTTGAAGTTTCCATACAAAATTTGATATTGACATTTCGGTTTGCAAACTATTCGAATTCGTCAATGGTTCGTGCTAGGGGTACGGTTCGCAAATCTACGGCGAGTATCGTTGTAGTGTATCAATATCACTTTTACATCTAATAAGATATCTAAAAGACTTAAAAATTGAGAGAACAATAGGTGAGGAGCAAAAGTTGCAGATAAGAATCTAATCTGATTTGATACTCAAGTTAAATTAATTTATTAAAAGCTCCCTTGAAACTTCAAGTATCGAATTTTTTTTGAGTAAAGTTTTCTTGGGTCCTCTAAAATTTAACAGGTAAATATTTCAATACTAATTTATTATATAATTTGTGATAACTGCTTTCAAACACTAAAATACAAAAGCGATTTTAAACGATTTTATCAAATTAGTAAAATTATTTAACCTTCTCACCTTAACATAGGTGACTACTTTTTGGTAGAAGACCTACCTTATATTTGGTAGTTGCAGTCAAAGGCTGGTAGCCTAATGTCTGTTCCGCATTCCGCTTCTGTTGTATCACGTCGCGGCCAAGGAGGTCGTTAAACCTGAAAATTATTTATACAACACATTCATTCATTACACACAGAAATGACACATTATAAACTAGCGGTAAATCGCCCGTTACATTGTTTACGTTAACTTAAGCTTTTTCGAAAATCCCTCAGGAACCAAACACATTTCCGGGAGAAAAAGTATCCTATGTATAAGTTGTATGTATGTAAAATTTCATCTAATTCCTATCAGCCATTTTTGCGTGATTGAGTAACAAATAAACAATCTTACTCATTTATAATATTATAAAAGATTATTAAGTACCATTTACATATGGTACACGGAAACAGCGTGATTAACGGTTCACAAGTGACGATATGAATTTTACGCTTAAACTTTATCAAAAGATAGAGCGAAAGTATTTGTTAAAAATATTGTAGTACTCTACGCGTCCCACTCTCTCTGTAAGATATATAAGTCGTCGCTAGTACAGAGCAATCCGCAATGAGCCTATGGTGGCCCGTCATCAACCCGTCCTATTCCATTCATAGGAAAGATCTGCGTTCCAGCATATCAATTAGCCCATAATGATGTCGCCTTGAAGACTTCACCATTTATTTCAATCGTAACTGTAACAAAACCGGCCAAGTGCGAGTCGGACTCGCGCACCGAGGGTTCCGTACATCCTGAATTTTCAAAAATATTTTTTATTAGATGTAACTAAAAATGTACTACGAGTATAAGACGTTACTTCGTACCAAATTTGAAGATTCTAAGTTCACGGGAAGTGCGAGTTTCGAAAATTTGCGGCATAAACGGCTGTATCTTTTGATTGCTTTGGCTTAGAAGTTTGATTTTTTTCACAGTTGTAAGGGACAGTAGACCTGAGTATTAGATATGAATATCAGTTTGATACCTCCACGCGTTCCTGAGGAAAACCGTCTTGACAGAAGGACGGACAACAAAGTGATGCTATAAGGATTCCGTTTATTCCTTTTGAGGTACGGAACCCTAAAAAAGGTGAAAGTAAGAAATAGACTTATGGCACTTACCTTTGCGTGAGATGGCGACGTAGCAACGTCTTAGAAGCGGGGATGTTGAGCAGCGCCGCTAATAGTTCGGCCGTAAACCGCGGCTCTAATAGCATCAGCCCGCCATGGACGCCTGTACAACAATATTTATCATTCCTTAATAATTATAATATAATGGTAGGAAAGTCAAAACTGTACATTGAATATTTTTTCTTAAAGAATACTTGTGGTGTGATCTACAATTGACACCGAAGCCAAATATATAGTTTTTAGAATTTTTGTCTGTTTGTCTGTATGTATGTCCGGGATAAACTCAAAAAGTACTGCATGGATTTACTTCAAATTTGGCACGAATATTATTAAGAAGTCGGGTCAACATATAGGCTACATATTATCATCACGCTATCACCTACGGGGAACGAGCAGTGAACCTTTATTTCTAACTAACTCCACGCGTACGAAGTCGCAGGCGGCCGCTTATAAATAAATATAATGATGTAATTATTATTACCCGTGGGAAGCTTAGTGTCGGTAGAACCCTCACCAATTGGACTGATGACATTAAGCGAGTCGGAGGGACCCAATGAATGCGGAAACCGCAGGACAGTTGTGTATGGAAATCTCTTGAGTAGGCCTATGTTCAGCAATGAACGTCCATCGGCTGATGATAATGATGAATTATTATTTCCTCTAGAGGGGCCGTATATCCAGCGTTTATGGACGCTGATGATGAATAGTTTTATTTAAGCCTGGGCATAACCAAATGCAGCACAGCGCGAAACAGCAAACAACGTTGTAATATATGAAATGTTACGGTATACAGTGCCGTCTTTGACCTATTGCAGGCCCTGGGCATATTAGGATTATGGGGCCCCTATGACTTCCGTTTGGTGATTTAACAGGAACTAGGGACTTTGTATTTGATCTGAGGGGGCTCCCTATCGATCGCGGGGCCCTGGGCACTTGCCCAAAGTGCCCACTGGGAAAGACGGGTCTGATGGTGTATGTGACACTGATTGGGCGGACGCAGCGCACAACGATATGCGAGCTGTATCCCTAGTATGAGTTTTAATCGTTTTTGAATTCGATCAATCAGATTGACTAGCAGCGCCCCTAGCGTTACCCCTCAAAAACAAAAATCAGCAGTATGAGTTCATTGAGTCATCGTAAAACGAAAACTACCAAAATTTTCGTATGTCGTTTGCATTTTGACAGTATAAGTTACAATGGTAACATCGCCCGCGCTCGCCTCGCGCTCCGTGATGACTGCATAGATTTCGGAAAACTTCTTGAGCAAAATCACATAAAGATAAACTTATGCAGTAGATGTATTAGTATTTTAATTTGCAGTAGCAATTTCTGCGCATTAGCGCAGGCTTCCTTGTTCAAGAAGTTTGGGGGCGTGTATATCATTAAAATCTGTATTATGGATGCCATACGAGCGAGAAAAGAGCGAACTCTTTCCTTAAAGGCCGGCATCACATTTGTAATACTCCCGGTGTTGCTGATGTCTATAGACGCCGATAATCACTAACCGTCTGCTCGTTTTATTTTTGAGTGAGTATTCTGTTGGTCTCAGATGACCTTTACAGCGTCAACGGGTTTGGGGACGGCGAGATCCTTAGGAGACCTCAAGCCGAAAGTTGGCGAGTAGCCTCTAGACTAGAGGTATTCCAAGGATTCCACTCCCCACGGAGGGAGTCTCCTCTTCGTCTGGAGCCTCTAGACCAGAGGGGTTCGGCTCAACTAGAGGGCGTCTCCGAGACTCTGACCTCGGCTCGCCCAGGTACGTACCTGTACCTGGTATAGCGTGTCGCGTGTAGACCGGTGCTTCGCACTCTTATCGTACGGGTGCGGTGTCTGCCTAATGGTAAGCTAGTGTGCAAGTATGCTAGATGTGTAGTATTGGTGTTTGTGGCCTGTGTGGGAGGAGTCGGATGCGCGTTGGCGCGGGTGATTTCGTCGTCGGGGTACTCTAAGACGTGCCTAGGCCGACGGATCGGAGGGACCTTGTTTGCTCGTATGCCCCCTATAATATAAAAAAAACTCCGCATATGTCAGACGTGCAGCGCTGTGTAGCAGTAACGGTCTGTTTTTTTTAACTGAAACTTCTTTACGCAAGCTTGATTTGGGGGTAAGCTGGCGAATGCGTTACGCGTTACGATAAGTGTGTTCGGGCGAGGCGAACGGGAGTTGAATGAGGGATATAAGCAAGAGAAAGCAGTGCGCGCGCACATTTTCTTTCTCTCTTTCTCTTATAGCTAGTAAATTAAATATGTATATGTACATACATGTATATATTGTACACACACATATATATATCCTGTGTATATATAAATTTGTGTGTGTACAATATATACAATTTAAAAAATCTTTTAACGAAGTCGAAGGCCACGTATTATCCCCACATTATAATCGTTTTTTTCTTCTGAACCATACCTGGGAAATTTATGGTTATGGAGATATTGAAGGTAAGTCACAATTTTTTTTTCAAAATTTATACATTAATATTTTCAAAACGTTATTTAGAAACTTTTTATCGACGCTATTACACGCACGCACACCCATACACACAGGCACATGCTTTGCGTAGCGCCACAGTAGCGCACCGCGCTATACATTGGGAAAAAAATGTATTTTTTTAACTTAAAAATACAAATGATTCCCACGTATAATATTTTGTAATTTTACTTGTTTGGGTGTACAGCATGCGTAGTTTTAGTCTTTGTCATCGGTTTTTTTACACCTTGTATACATACAGATGGAGCTAAAGAAGTTTCACTTCAGTCGTGTGGTCATAAGAACACTCGTTTTTTTTTTAATTTCAAAGGACCTCACTAAAACAATGTACAAAAAGATCTATGACAAATAGATGCCAAATACCGGATACCAGCAAATTAGCGCGTACTCCGCCAGGTCCATTTCCTTCAGCCACTGCAGCACGCGGTGCGAAGGTCATCTGGCTAACTTATTTTTTATACACGTAAAACGTTACAAGAAATTATAATTTAAAAATTTATAAAACCAACCTGGGCACGCAGAGTGTTATTAATAAGATATGTGAAGAAGGGTCCTTGATAGGCGTTGATTTGTTCGCTGCGTCATTGATTGCATTTAGGAGGGCTTTAATATCGAGTATTGATAGTGAAACTTGATTATAGTTTAGTTTTATGTTTATTTTTATATACCTTGTTTAGTTTTTATAACTAATTTTGTCCGAAATAAGAGTTGAGTATGCCTGGAACTCTTTTTACATAACTTTATGTATAACATATGTTTTAATTATGTTGGGTGTAAAAATAAATAAATAAATAATGCATCATACCGGATCCCCGCAAATTGGGCGCGTACTCCGCCAGATCTATTTCCTTCAGCCACTGCATCACGCGGTGTGAAGACCATCTCGCTAATTCATTGCTCGGCGTAGTCGCTTCCCCGCTTTCCGCGTCGCTGCCACTTATCACTGTAATCTCGCCTTCCGCTGCGCGCCGAATCATTGTTTCAGGGTTGAATTTGTTGTCTCTTAGCACTTGAATGCCTGTTTGATAAAACTGAATGTTTACATGATAAGACGACAGATGCAATCTTTAATATAATCATCATACATATCAAAAAGGATATTTTTTACAAATAAAAATTTCTATACGAATAGGAAAGCGGAGATGAATTGCATTTTAGGTGATCAAATATCAGACAGACGTGGAGAAGGGTTTGAATGACATTTGGTAGTTATGTCGTAGTCATCTAATTAAATTAACTTGCTGATTGGACTCCTAGGTCCTAGGCCGTTCATAAAATGCCGGCATCCAATTCTTTGAACTAGATTTGTTTTATCTTTATTTTATTTTCGAAACTCAACCGTTTATTCCGTTTATACCGTCAATGAAAAAAAAATTAATCCAATGAATCAAACTAATTACAGGGTTTCACATTTTTTTTTGACAGTCGACAGTCGAGAGGCCGTGCAGCAGGCGGCTCCAGCCAGTACAGCGGCCACTAGTGAGGGAGGCGACACACACACACACACTGACCGCGTCGTATGGCGAGCGCGTGTAGCGCGTGGGTGACGCGCAGGTGCGTGTGCAGCTCGTGGTGGGAGAGGCGGTGCAGCAGGCGGCCGTCGAGCGCGGCCTCGCTGGCAGCCCCTCTTGCTCCGCAAACGCCAACGTCTTCTAACCAACGTAGCGTCCACGCGGTGTCCACTTGGCCCGCTGCCGTCAGCATCGGATCGCCGTGGCCGCCCTTATCATGTCATTAAAAAAACATAAAAATTAAAGTTGTTACATTGGGATCGGAAAGGAATGATCGGTGATAGCCAAAACAACACATATAGATATCGACGACAGTGACTCCAGAACTCAATCCTAAAAAATATGTTTGCATAGAAATCGAACGAACAAAACAGAGCAAGATTTTATGAGAGTTTTAAGTATCGGAATAATCGAAAATCAGAAAGGAATAAATGTTTGGTGAAAGCCTATATATGAATTCCGCGCCTGAAAATCTAGCAGTTAATCTAAAAGTATGTAAAACAATCAAAAGAACAAGACAAAAATAAATTGCAAGCAATTATATCTCCGCTCACCAATAAATCCGTTAGCGCCAAGACTATTTTCTTCTTATGCAGCGGATGCTTGATCGCCAGTTCCTTCTCTATGGTTTGCTGCGACGCGGCCGCCATAACTCCGCGAGCTTCCGGTGTAGCGCCGAGCCACGCCTTCGCTGCCGGAACGTATACTTCGAGCCCGAGTGATTCTAGCCAACCGCATGTTGTGTCGCAGTCCCATTGTCTCAAATCGGTCGTTTGCCTGTTAGAAAAATCATAACAGTTTATTAGACTCCCTACAGGTGAAACACAAGTCTTTCCTATGCATGGAATAGGGAGATCGGGCCATGCAAGACTTAGCATGCTAACGAACGCAGGTTTAGGAGCAACGGTTTTACGTGCCGCTCGTATTTCGTGTCTAGACTTGACTTTAGATGCGGTGTGGGCTTTATATTATTTAAAAGATATTTTTTTAATTTGATGCGGATCGGCAACTTTCCATGTTCCAAGATAGGGGTTAGGTGTATCCAAATCGTTAGATCTTGTGACGGTGACTCTCACCGAGGATTGCGTGACGTCACCTCCTTCGATTCAATCTATTGCGGACTTTTCCTAGAGACAAGAGAATACCGCGCGATGAAGGTTCTTTTATAGGGCGTGAAAAAACCTTAAATACTAGCTACTGGCGAGTTGCATCATCACAGCTCAACTATCTTCGCATTAGGACCTGATACCAGGTGGGTTGGCGTCATTTGCTAAGTCCTACACGGCCGCGGCGTCGAGTCTACTGTAGACTCAGAGACGACGACGGAATACTGCAAGGTGGTTTGTTCGTTCAAGGCTATTTTATAGAGGCGTGAAAACACCTATCCTCGTTCTACCAAGGTATAGAGTCAGGTGTATCCAAGGTCTTGGTGCGGACACACAGCGCCAGGCTCGCGTGACGTCATCTCCTTCCAGTCACACGCCGTCCCCGCTGCCGAGGCTACTGTAGACTTGCCTTAGAGAAGGCGTCGGTTAACAGCAAGGTGATCACATTATTTAAGGTTCTTTTAAAGCGGCTAGTAAACCAGCTAGTGAGAAAATGGCATCATCAGGACTGCACTATTTTCACATTTGGACTTACCACCAGGTAAGTTGGAGTCATTTTCCAAGTCCTATATAAAACACACACTTTTTATATTCGCTGGTGGAAATGTCTTCGTTCTTACCAAGGCATAGGGTGCATCCTCGGTCTCCGTGCGGACACTCGGGGCGAAGCTCGCGTGACGTCATCTCCCTCGAATCGCTCGCCGCTGCCGCTGCCGTGTCTACTGCGGACTTGCCTTAAGCTAGTTTCTCAGAGCGTAAGATATCACAAGTTGCAACGCGCCGAGCCGATTTGTATTAGCGAGCATGCGTCAACAGCCGAGTCGACGCTACCCGTTCACACGGGCGCGTCAAGGCGCACGTTGGACACGCAGTGAATGTAGTGTCGACACTACAGCCCGAGGCACGCAGCGCATAATGTCGCAAGAAGAAGCAGTCATCGCTGTAACCGATTTTGTGTTATTGAGTAGATATTTATTTTTCTTAACAAAAAATATTAAAAAGACGCTGGTGGATGACATCCCGCGCCATTCCGCGCGCGCTCATGCCGCCACGAGTGCGCTCGCGCCACGCCGGCCCGCGTCTTTGAGTTACTGACTTCCATCGGATCGGACGGGCATGCTCGAGCTAGCCCTCGTCGCCTCGAGCCATTACCTTCATTAGCTGATGCGGCGCGACTTGTGATATCACGCGCCGTGAGAACCTAGCTTTTAGAAACGACGGAATACCACGCGGTGATCCGTTCTTTCACGATCCTTTTATACAGGTGTGATAAAAACCTTGAAAACTCAGCTACAGGAGAGTGGCATCGTCACAGCTGCACTATCTTCACATTCGGACTTAACACCAGGTGAGTTGCTATATATAAATAAAATCATTTCTTATATTCAGTGGTCGAAACGTCTTTGTTCTTACCAAGGCATAGGGTGCATCCTCGGTCTCGGTGCGGACACTCGCAGCGATGCTCGCGTGACGTCATCTCCTTCCAGTCGCACACCACCGCCGCTGCCGAGTCTACTGCGGACTTCCCGCAGCGACGGCGATGGACTGCCGCGTGGGATAGCTTCCTCTTTCTCAGCTACAATGGGAGAAAACCGACTAAATAACGCAATAATTCAGCAACCTAGTAAATAGCGTCGAAGTGCAACATTTTAATGATAGGACATACATGGTACTGTTTAATAAAAACTTTACAATTACATTTAATAAAGAAATTAAGATCTGCTTATCACCTATTAGGTCGCACGGTTGATAAAATACTAACCTATTAGTACTTAAGTCAACATTGAATAAAGCCGCGTATTCATTAGGCAACATTTGTTTATAAACTGTTTATGAAGTTGATCACCTTCTTTATAAACAAGTTTACCGTAAACAATGTTTGTGAAACTTGGCCTTCCACACTTGTCAGTTGTTGCTTGTAAGTCACCCGAGAAGGTCACTACCTTAATGACACAAGCTTGCTTTGGGCTGTAGTAATTCATAACAGTACGACTACTTAATCGGAAAAGCTCTACCAGCATCGAAACTTGCTCATTGGACCACACCACTTCCATGTTTAAATAAACTATAAACATCCCGCAACACACGTCCTCACCCGTCAACTTTTGTTTATAAACACATTGGTAAGACTCTCCACTCAGAGAACCAGGCAACATGTATCTGAAACAATGTTTTATCACCTTTATTTATAAACTGTTTCTAAACTGTATACAGAGATAGTGCAATATTGTGAAACATTGTTTATAAAAAATGGTTGCCTATTGAATACGCAGCTTTACTCACAACCACAGACTTATGTTTCGCTTTATTTCTTTTTTGACACGACACGACTAATTTTAAATTAAGGTTTCGCTGACACTTCTGCTATTTACATGTAACAAAGATACTAAGATGTCTGTAGTTCTGTACGGCTTACGTACTAATAGACCAGTATTAAATTAAGCATGCAACATAATTATTGTCTTGTACAAGTTGTCACAAAGAAAGTGACAGCATCAGCTATAAAATCAAACTTAACAAATAATTGACGTCTTTGAGTGCGACCGTCAGTATATTATGTATGCTCTTCGTTATTGTATGTACGAGATTTCAAATAAGCCAATTGAAAAAATTGAGCTTCTTATTGTAGTTACTTTAATTTTACTGTTACTAGACAAAATACTATTAAATTAAATAAGTATAACAAGTTTTATTCGAAAAATACCACGAATTGTAAGTTTTTGTATGTTTTCTATTAACATAATAATGTAAATAAAATTTAGTAATAATTGCTAATTCAATATTTATTTGAAAAATAAAACATGCAATTTTCAAAAAGAAAAACTAATCATAGAAAAGCGTTTAACATAGTAACATATTACTCAAAATGCAGCAACTTAAAATTATTTTACTTAGGGTCTGTTTCACAATCAATTAGTAAAATTTTGAGGAAGCTACTTCGAACACAAAATTGAATTCAGATTATACTATTGTGCTATAAAGTATAGCACGTAAAGGAAGCCCGTACCTCACAATATAGTATAACGTAGTGTAAAAGTGTTGTAGGTAAATGTTTGGTGTGCGATATCGTGCCATGAGTTTTAGGCTATAATACTATATATATATACTATATATAGTATTCAAAGTCTGAACGCACCTTTATGTTCGAAGTAACTTATTTAGAACTTTACTTATCAATTATAAAACAGGCCCTTAGTAATTTAAAATATTACTTATGGTACTATAAATTAATCGGGTCACGCATGCGGGGTCACTCGTTCGTTAGACACAATACAACATTTATAAAGGCAAAGCCGGGATATTTAATCTGTGCGCACTTAGGGTTGCCACTCATTCGCTCATAATAAAAAAACCCTTAAGTTTCAAATGTTGGTGTATCGTTCATAGTCGGGAAAGGTTATGCAAATAAGAGAGGACCTTCTAACAGGGAGCAGAGCTGTTATAGCGTGATATTCTCTCACAGGAATTTTAATTTTGTAAGTGTTTTTAGTATATTTACTTTTCTCCTTTTTTTAAGTGTTCTTCCCCTAGAATAAATCGAAACGGGAAGATACGGCACTCGCGTCTCATTTTGTACCGCTTAAATTAGATGCATGCACACAATTAGCTTTAGTCACAATTTGACAAGCAAACTCGCCGCATGTACACTCATAAAATAATATTGCGGTCAATATGCGTTCTTTTTAACGCAATAAAACAATGCCGTTGATGCTTTTGAAAAGTGCACAAATAGTTACAAAATGCCACGGCGTCACATTTCATTTGTTACTTATTTTATTCGCTTATATTTGCCATTTCTTATCCAGAAAAGGTCAACAATACAAACTCAGCTGTTGGTAGAGAGAGGAAGAACATCAGCATTCGGTAGTCAAGCAACGCGTACTCGCCGACTCGCTCGCGCTTCGTTGAAGCGTACCGTTCTGTCTAGCTAGCTCGATTAATGTTTATTTATAGGTGGGTGAGAGTTGTTTATGTAGTTGAGTCATTCTACGGAGACTCAGTCGAAGCATTCTTTTTTTGACGCTGGTAAAAGCGTACCGTATCTTCCCTTTTTGATTCTATCTAAGGTTCTTCCTATTAAATGCTTTGCACTTTACCTGTTCAGTTACATCTTACTTTCCTGAAGAAAAGAAGCGGAACCTTTATTCACAATACGATTATACTGGAGCAAAAAGTGGCCATATATTTTTAACAAAATAGCACTATTTAAAATATCGGAGCATGCAGGATTTATAATTGAACAAGGAGAAATAGCGGAATCGCCTGCCATGCGCTTGGGAGGTCGGCGAATAGTCAGTGGCAGCCCTAGTAGCAAAGAAAGATGGCAGTGGCAGCCCTAGCGGCATGCGAGGTTCACAGAATACCAAAGAACAGATCCACAGAAACGAGCGATACAGGCGCACGTATAGGTAAATGCATATGTATTAAAAGTATGAGTATCAATGGATACGGTTCTTTGTATGTAGTGAGTCTCCGGTAGACTCCAAATTTCTTATTAGATGTAGTGCACTTAATTGTAAATTGTTTAACAAAAACTAGAATTTATTTTATCCCCGTTTTTTTAAATAATTATTTTTAATACAAAATTACATAATTATTGATTAGCAAATTTATTTATCTATTTTTTGAAAGTATCAAATATATTCTATTCTATAGATAACTAAAGTAGAGATAATTATTTTGTTCATCTTTCAATACATTATTAGGCATTTTGTGGGTTTGCTATTTCAAGACGAATCAATCAGAATGGGTATAATAAGTTCACCACGATATCACAAATATTATGCATGACTGGACTGATTTACATTTGCCATAGTGATTAAGTTGACGTTTCAAGCTGCCACACACTAAAAATATAACGTTATATACGACAACAGGGTGGCCAGTGTCCTTACAAAATTGTTAATTTTTTATACGATTTGAAATTATTCGGGGATAAATAAAAAAAATAAATTAACTGTTCATGTTTTAATATAAAACAAGATTGTTCATCAATAGGCTGCACCATCAACTTCTCTCTTTCTAGAGAATTGTCGTTGAGAAATCGTTGTTGTTGAGAATCTATGCTTGAAGGCAAAGTCTAATGACGTATTTGCAACGATATTAAATACCCTAGATACACCACGTCCGCTCAAAATGTGTTCCAAGCAAGAAGTGCTTAAACTCCACTCAAGCACTTTTTGGTTTACAGTCACGCGCGGACCGTTGAAAAGTCAACATGCCGCAGAGCTCCGTGAAATAATGCGAAAAAAATACTTGTAGTATGTAGTGTCGTTTTTTTGACAGGTATCTAATCAATGTTTGTGAATTTAACTCATTTGAAGCAAATTTTGTTGTAATACTTACTATAAACTGATTTAATAGAAAATATTTGTGATATTCAAACGCATGGTCGGTTATATAGCCGTCTCCTTCCTCGCAGACGGTATCTGCTATATTGCTAACAGCGCATTCAGAATTGCGCCTAGAGTCAAAGAAATAAGGTTTATATCCTTCCGCATATAGCAATAACTCGTAAAATTTTACAAGCTTGCGTTACGGATTGTCATAACTCTTTGACGCATGCGTTTTAATTATGACCTTATACAGTATACATTAAAGGTGACTTTCAATGTTAAAATAGTGTCTTCTATTGTTTTTGACAACGCGATCATCTTTCGGCACGATTTTGTTCGTGTTGGTGTATCTAGGGTATTTAATACCATTGCTAAGTTAGTTCGAGACAAGCAGGAGCCTTTGTATGCGGTGTCTAGTGGGGGTTCTGTAGTGTGCCCGTTTCGTTCGTTTATATGAACAGCTGATTGGTATTCGGTGTTTAGTCGCGTTGGAGCAGAGACCTAAGTTCGGCACCGAGTGTCCGCGCCCGCGCGCCCCCGCCATGTTTGTGGGCAGTTTACCGAACGCGACCCGTTCCGTCACCGACGCGGCTAGCACCGATGATCGAGGCAATGATGAATACATGTGTGTGTTGCGCTCGATCTGACGACCGTAGTTTGCTGGCGGTGTCTAAAAATGATCAACTGTTTTTAGAGAGAAACTTTCGAAGCTCGACAAAGTTTGATGACGTAATTGATAGCGCTTTTGGTCTGCGATCGTAGAAAAATGAAGCCATTCTCGAATAGGTTCTCAAAGGTATATTTTCCCTAGACTATCGGTTATCTCTAGGATAGATTATTCGTTCTTTAGAAGGCAAGTTAAACTGTAGGTCCCGGCTGCTTCTGCAATAGTCGACGCGAACCGCTCTGTTGCCGATGCCGCTAGCAACCTAGATAGCGCTCGATCTGACGACCGTAGTTCGCTGGCTTTTGGTCTGCGATGGTATACGTAATGAAATTTTACGAATGAGTCAAGAATTTATTATCTCTAGGACTAGATAATTCGTGCTTTGGAAGACAAGTTAAACTGTTGGTCCGGGCTGCATCTGCAATAGTAGAGATGAACCGCTCAGTTGCCGACGCGGCTAGCAACCGACAACCCGATACAATGATAAATGCATGAGTTTATTGCGCTCGATCTGACGACCGTAGTTCGCTGGCAGTGTCTAAAAACGATCAAATGTTTTTAGAGATAAACCTTCAAAGGTAATCCCTTTTGGTCTGCGATAGTAAAGTAATTAAATTTTACAAATGAGTCAAGAATTTATTATCTCTAGAATCTAGCTAGATTAAACGTGCTTTAGAAGGCTCAATAAGCCGTTGGTCCCGGCTGCATCTGCAATCATTTGTACACACTTAGGTGCATTCTCCCAATTCCATCCATTCATCAGTAGGAGCTTCTGAATCTACCATCTGCTTCATTTCCAACAAGAATCTAAGAGATATATCTATCTTTAGAGAACTTTTTGCGAAGTAATAAAATATTGTTACACTGCACTGTTAAGACATTCATATTAATAATTTAAGTTTTGACGTAACATCAAATTATGAAAGACTTGATATCCATTTAAATATCTAGATGTTTAAATCATTAGAAAAAAAAATATTACAAAAAATTCCACGCGGTCCAGGCAGCAGACGGGACTCGAACCCGCACCCTCCGCAATTCGGGCGGATGCACTGACCATTATGCTACCGCGGCCCTGACAGCCGCGTCGAATTTTCTCTAGTATTTCTTAGGCTGGAAGGCAGCGCCATCTCTTAGCATTGTAGGTAACTCACAATGTCAAATGAATACCTTTACAAGTATTAAACTTAACTGCTAACTGGACCGCGTGGATTTTTTTCCAGTGAAATTTTCTTTGGATGCTTGAGTGTCCGAATGATTTATCTTACCCTAGGTGGTGCGGGCCTTGCTAGCGGTGTGACAGCGCTCTCCGGCGGTGGCGATCGTTCGAGAAGACCACGCTCCGCTACTCGCAGCCTAACCTCACTCAATTTCGATAGCAGTTCCAGTTTCTGAGTTTCTAGAGATGAACGCTGGAGCATTTCCTTTAAAAATACAAATAACATACTTAAATGTTACACACTTACATCGATTATTGCCACTTTACATTATTCTGGGATTCGTAATGGTTGTGAATAGTGGCTTAGACGATTTTCCCTATACTACATATTCATATGGTACAATGAATTAGATTGATATGAAAATCACCAAATTTAATAATCAAGAAAATCATTGCAAAGAATTTTGGCAGGACATAATGGATTGCCGCTTGGTGTGGAAGAAGACTTGTGTCTCGACGTGGTCTCGACATATCTCTACTGTTACAGCTATGTTACAAAACTAGTTTGGTAACGAGAAGGAGCACGTAATTTGCCATGTCTTCTTTTTATAGGAAAAGGAACTTTCTAAACTATATCAAACTAAAACTTTCACATTAGGAGTTCAATATATTTTTGTATGACTACCATAAGACATCAAAATCATTGATGGTTGTTGAGTAATCTCAAACGTTTTACAAAAAGAGCATCTGGCGTAGTTTGCGAGATTAATGGACGCCATGGAAAGCGTAAATGGAATGGATAAACGGAATTAGAATACGATTTGTTTTCTTTGCGCGTTCCTGCAAGTCAAGATTACATATATGTTTATTTAAGCTATGTTTTGAAAGAGAAGTGCAAAAGAACAAGATACAGTTTCTTAATGTGTGTATGTGTTGTGCACTATAAATAAAGCGATCGGATGCTATCTAGATTGATATGCATTTAAGAAATGAATGTAACTGGGCAATACATCTTAAAAATATGTACGCACAATAACAAATGGAATTTTAAGTTAAATTTATTTATAGATTTAGTATCTTAACTGCGGCGTACATTATTCATATGTAGATTTTATTAAATTAGAATTCTAAAGAGAGAAAAAAACTTCATTACGCACCGAACAGAAGTTGAACTACGGCCAGTTTTAATTTCAAACAGCTTGTTATACTGTACATTTAATAAATAAACACCAAGCTGTCAACAGTACTCTTGTTAAAACATTTAAGTAAACGAGATTATTTTACAATATACAATAATCTCGTCGTGTAGGTGAAATATCGAATCGTTGTAAACCCGAAGGTATCGGTGTTCCGCAACGCGATTGAGTCATCATTACTTTCAGACACGGCCACCGCGGTGTAAATTTAACTTCAATTTGTGAACAACAAACGGTGCACAATTATCGGCTTGTAATTCACCAACAAGTAACTTCATCATAAATCAACTCGTGCGTGCGTTAAATCACGAACCGTGCAGGAGATCATTTTACAACCTGGGACTTTACAAGTATATAATTTTCATAGCAAAATGTAACATTACCTATAATCTATCTATCATTGTGATTACAAATCCACGCCCAGACTCTCTTTTATTTACGTTTAGAAAAGCAATCATATCAATGAAGGCAATTACTCAAATTAAAATTCAATACATTATATGATAAACTGTAATAATGACATCATTATATTAATAGAATGCAAGACACAACAGACTACAGAACAAAAATAAGTGTTCTTGCACATTTAGAATACGAACAAGTCTAGTGAATACTAATGAGATCCTACATCATTTATAATATTTTTCCTTTGATAAATCTGTGCGAAACAGTAACGTGACTCTTGAAAAAAGCTACGAATGGTGAATAACAAACGGAATCTCCCGAGTGCGCTCGGCCCACACTGATCATGATTATTCAATAGTCCCATTCCCGCGGGATCTAGGCCGTACTGAATTTTAAACAGCTTACTACCTCGCTATAATAACGTGTCGTCGAATAACCGTTGTATTCGTTATGTCAAATATTTATGCAGGATAACCCAGTTGGCATAACATTATGCAGTCTGTTACTTCACACAGACAAAACTTTTGCAAAATGTGAAGTTATGTAAATCTCTTAATACTTTATTTTAGAGATAGTAGTTAAACTATAAAGGTTGACCTGGGTCAATAATCTGCTACTTTAGCGCATAAATATTGCTACATTTACCATTACTATTGAATCAGTAAGAATATCCGCAGTTTTGAGCACAAAACCGGTCAAGGGTGAGTCGGTCTTGCACACAAAAGATTCCGTACCATTGTACAAGAAGATAAGATGAAACTTTAAAAAACGTCGATAAAACTAAATATTTTAGATTTTTAGTTCTTCTGCTTATTCGGTAATTGAATCACAAATTATTCATAGGATACAGCCCGTTGTCAGAGAGATTGATGAAGGAACGATCAGCAGACGATTACCCATAAGTCTTAACATCGGTGTCGAACTCGTAAGTAGCACTGACATTGGCAAATTTCGAACTTGATCCGCTTGGCTCGATACTGGGCTGGCTAACAGATTGGCAATGGCCGTATTTAGTACATAGGAACATAGGTAATTTTTGTGTGTAGTGTTAGGTACCTTTTGTAGCCTCTGGTCAGCGTCGTCGAGCCGCTGTCGTGCGTCGATGAGCGCGCGCTCCAAGTCGTTCATCTTCTCGTTCTGTGCTGCAATCTGTTCCGACAGCACCTGCACCTGCAGCTGTAGGCTCTCCTTGTCCGCCTCTAACCGGCGTACTCGCTCCTCTGCGTCGTTCTGAAAACAAAGCGATTAATTAGAATACTTTTAATTCATAATTGTTACAATATTTTCTCATAGACGGTTATGATTCAAACAAACTAGGTAGGTACTGTTTTGTTTTATTTTTTCCAATTAGGAATTGAGCGAGTTACCAATATTTTGTTTATTTACACTTAAATTTGTGAATATTAATATAGTAGTGTTTTGTATACCACGATAGCAAAAATGGCGGCAATTGCACAAAAGTTATAAACACAAACAAAAACTCACATTAAGAAAAAACAAGAAAAGATTCCGTTATGATTTAGGGTGAAGGAAAAAAGATTGGTTTTAACAAATTCGCACGAATAGTATTTTCTGATCATTCACTCGTACCTTGTAAGGCCGCGCAGGTGACGGTGGTAGTGAAGGGTGTGAGGGCCAAGTGCGGTCATGCATGCAACATGGCGGAGGCGCCGGGGGCCCGTGACACCAGCACATGGGCGGCCACCATCCTCCTTCAGGCCATCGGAAATGTTCATAGGAATTCCATCGCCTCTGTAATTCAGGAGGAGTGTCTTCGTTGCGAGGGCGCCGAGGACGAGGCGATGCGCGGACGCTAGACGGATGCTGAGGAGGCTTCGCTGCCGATAACGATGAGCGAGTTTTACGATCTCGATCACTACGATCGCCCGGCGTACGACGTCTTCTCTCCAAGCTCGCTCCTGAATATTCACTTTCCTTCATATCTGTCTGCTGCGTAGGTTCACCTACTATTTCTCCCGTTGGCATCCACTTAAAATCATCATCACGCCTGGTAGAATTATCCAATCGTCTGTTAGGAGTCAATGTTTGGTAATCAGCATCATTCGAATGCATATCATATTCTCGTTCTTCGGAATCGTCTTCACTAGAACTTGATTCGGTGTCGGAAGAGGATTCTGCTCGAGCTGGGATAGCGCCGTCCGGCCATGCTGTGCACTTTACTGTCGCCTCGTCAGGACTATCGGAATCGCCGCCTGTCACGAAACAAAACTTCAGGAACAATCCACACAACCGATAAGAACCTCAAGTTCGACAATAACTCACCCATTGGCGAGTACATGTAGGAGCGCACGGCGGGGTGCATGTAGCCCGCCGCCACGCGCTCCTCACCCTCGTCAAGGGGTTCGGTCAAATATTCGCGGTCGGACATGAGGCTCCGCACAAATGACACTGCGTGACAAACTCTCTGTACAAGTCAAAAACGCGTCTCTATTTAAGGTTTGGCCACGATCCAGCAAATAGATTACGTCACTAACTCGTCCAGTGTTCGTGTGTATTACGTACTCTCTTGTGGGGGCGGCTCCTCGCTGGACTGAACAGAGGCAGAATCGCGTTCAGAAGCCTCTGACGCTGTTGATAAAGGTCGTTCACTGCAGTCCGACGCACGTCGTGCGAGATCCTCACGAAAAACTTCCTCCGTTACTGGTCGTAAGACATTTCTCGTCTCAGCGGAGCTCACTCGCGGTTTGACAGTACAATTTTTCGAATCTACGCGATTGTGCAACGCCGCTATGGTGGCTGCTACTAATGAACCCCCACGGCCGATCTCGCGCATGTTTTGGATTAAAATGAACGGCGCCTACGCAAACATGGCCGGCACGCGCGCCCGGAAATAGATCGGGGTATATACCTCTGATGCATTCCGGACACCCTTCCCGCTTTGATCCACCTTTTATTGTACGCAACAAAAATGTAAGCTTTTAACACAAAGGAACACTCGTTTTAGTATGAAAACAAAAGAAAACTAAAAACATAGAGACTAGGTAAAATTAAATGGAGTTAAATTATGTTTGATTAGGTACAGAGGCTTCAAACGACGCGTTAACGCTGCGCGGTATGTGCAATCGTGAGATTTACACAACTCACTCACCGGCCAGTTGACGCCTTCATAGAGAGACTGGCGATGACGCCCCCACCCATTCAACTCATCATAATATTCTACTTCATGATTAGACACGCTGTTATCATTATACTGCGACTCAAGCCAGGCAGACATTATTTCTTCCGATGTCAATATTTCAGTTTCATTGACAAAATCAGGATTATATGGTGGTTGCGTCGGGTAATAAATTGGCGCATTGGTTTTCAAATCAAAATCCTGTCGTCTGTTGGGAAATTTTATACAATCCATAATATTTGCCGCCAACTATATCCGTCCTCCGTTTTCTGGTAACAGCGGCAAACAATACAAATATATAAGTATAAAAATTAAAAGATAGAATGGTAAAGACATTTTGGGAATGAAATCATATAAAACAAGAATGTCGGTCATTATATAGAAAACGCCTCTTGCAACGGAAATAGAACGACAGCTGTACAGTTAGGAATATCCAGCAAAAGCGTGATTTTAATGCTCTACGGGACCGGGAGAGAGGGAGCGCACGTGTTAGTAATTCTAAATATAGCTTATAATGTGTTTAACTGCTTTTCGCATCTAGAACAAAATGTTTAGTAAATTATACGCTTACATTTGTACGATTGTCGCTTGATTACTGCTACAGTTTCCGTCTCGTTAATAAACAGCATCAAACAACTCCAGTTTGCAAACATATTTTCTAGCCTTTAAATAGAAAAGATTGGCAATGAATTCGTAGAAATTAAGATTAAGACCGATATTTCTTTAACTATGTTAACATTTATGTTTATTACTTTATTTATTATTTACTTTTAAGTAATTATCCTTACTATCTACCAATATTATAAACGAGAAATTGTTATGGATTTTGTTACCTTTTCAAGCTAAAACGTAAGATCATAAGTCAAACCTTTTCATACTAGCGACAGATAAGAGACGATCGTACAAAGTAGGCAATGATAGTAATACCACAATACCGAAGATAGAAATACAAAGAATTATATATTTTATGCTAACTTTCTCTTGCGGTAGTAATCTAATTTCACCAGAAAGTGTATTTTTTTTTTTCAAATAAAAGGTGATAAGCTGGCTACGTGTAATTATTATCAAACACGGATTTACATTCGGTGACCAACGATATTGCCGGTGACCAATGAACATAAGCAACAATCCCATGTTCTGTAGATCTACCGTAATGAAATTCGATAAACTATAATATTCAGGATCTGCCACGTGCCACCGGTAAGACGGTAATATGAGGAAAATTAATGAAACGGAAAATGATCAAATAACGCTCCATATGCTTCACGAACACGTACAATGCTAGAATAACAAAGAGTAGGTGTACATCCCGTATCCGAGAAATGGAAAAGCTTCCCTGAAAATGAAATTAGTTGTGCAAAAGTATGTTGTCTGTTTTGGTTCGGCGGCCGTATAATCGATAACATAAAAGGTATCGAATACTTTCGACGTTCTTGTAACGAAAGTTCTATCATGTTGCTTTATAATTACGTTATTTCAATCTACAATCATTAAAAAAAAGCTATTGCAATAATTATACTAATCAATTAACCAAAATGAGACTTGTTTTCTGTGGTGGGGCTTTTGTATATACGTAACAAAATATTTAAAGTAAATGCTCACAGAGAGGACAAAATTTTGGAAGGAGTCATGTAAAACAAAAAGCAATTATATACTGATTGAAATTATATTTCCTTTTGTATTCATAAACTGATAAACTAAATTCATATTTTTTATTGTTTATCATCACAGTACTAAAATATATTAATTTCTATGCACATAATTTTATTATAATTTTTTTATAAATATTGAATGATACTTATTATTTTCATACCATGTCTTTATCCTGTGAAAATGTTACTCAAATATGTTGTGTCATGTTACCAATTGTATTAAATTATTATTGTTTTTATTTTTCGTAAGTTGTTAATGAACTTATATTTGTTACAGGACACACTATGAACAAAATTTGGCAAGATCATACAATTAAAACTGTGAAAGAAGCTCATCGAGAGGGATTGTCAATAGGATTGAAAAACCCAAGTGGAAAAGGGAAGCATCTTATTGTGTTGTACATATGGGCACAAGTCAAGGGATATGTTGGTAAAAATAATAAAACATTTAAGATGACTGAAATTAAAAATTAGCCGATGTTTACAATCAATCACAGCTGAATCGTGGAAACGGTGCATTGACCATGTCATTAAAGAAGAGCAGAAAATGCTGAAATTGAATGATATTGTTGATGATGTTGTGGATAAATTTATTATTAAAGTTGGTGGCAGTGCATCCAGTGAGTTGTCAGACAGTGAATAAATATTATTTGCAAAGTATTATGCTGGTTTCATTTGAAATACACATTCTTTTATTATATTTATCATCAAGACAGAATTCATTATAATTTTAATATAGGTTACATAAATTATACCTAATCATTGACTAGTAGGTACTTTCTGACATTATAAAAGTTTTAGAACCTCAGATTCTTTGTTTACATTTTGTCTCAAGCCAAAGTGAATAGACAACTTTTCTAATGGGTTTCATCCTACTATAATTTTTTAGGTCTCAAAAATTATCGACCCTGGTCTTATATTGATACCTAACAATATAAAACTGTAGATATAGTTTTATTGACGCTTTATTACTTATTGTATTAGACAGCTCAACATACTCGTAGTTTACCTTACCATTCTGTTTTTCCCATATCCTAGGTCCCATATCCTCCTTCATGGCATAAGCAGAGTTAAAAAAAATTGGGCACATACACTGGACATTAGGTAAATCCCGAAGAAGTCATCTCATAAGAAATCTAGTCATCTTATATGTATAAAAAATACTTTTGTCCTGTGTAAATGTTAACTGCATCTTTGTGCTATAGATCCCAACGAGCAACAACACAAAAAGCTCTTTTCGAAACTGAATGATTTTTATAAGGTATTAGCAGTCAATGAATTAGTCTGAGTTAGTCATCAGTTTCAGCAATTTTTCAATTTTCCAACCATGGATATCCTCTTATTAACTTAAAAATAAACTAGCTTCTCTGAGTGCGGCTCATTAGTCCATAAAAACAACTTTAAAGTTGGCGTACGCCAGGAATATAAAACAACTGCAAGTTGAACCTGAAGTTGACAGGACAAAATGAAAAGCAACAACCTAGAGCACTTACATTATAACAACCGTATCCTATGAAGAGAGACGTATTATAAATCCAATAACGATACACAAGCATCGATGTACAGAAAGGAACAGAGAAATTAATTGCAGGTATTTGTTACTTTTCAAGAAAACATTTGAAGTGAACTCTTAAGTTTATAGAAAATGAGCATTAATAAGTACATTAGTTTAAGTATCCTAGTTCATTAAACAGGGTTATTTAAAATTTATTATAAATATTTTGTGTTTTCTTTTTGCTTTATAACGCAACTTTTTAAAAGTTTCAATATACCTGCACAGCACCGTAACATTTCTAGAATAACTTCTCATATTATAAAGTAATTGTTATACCTATCAAATCATCATCATTAGCCTCTTAAAATGATTATATGATTTGATGCCAAGGGATCTGAGGCACTCTAATAGAAACAATCCTAAAACAGTTTTAAAATGTGTGATTCCTGATTCCTTAAAAGTACTTACAATTGATAAGTATATCTTCTTCCAAATAAAATGTTAAGTTAAACACATAACCAGCAACATTGAAGAATAAAGAAAACACAGCAGACGCAAATATTATAAAAACATTTCACAAAAAAAACCGATGGCAACGAAGGATTGTCGCTAACTGGTGCTCCACATCGTATTGTGGGTCATTTGTTCTGAAATAAGATGAACACAGAAAATGGGACGGACGCCAGTTTCAATTTCAAGAAGAAACATGGATTGTAACAAATTATGTAGTCACTTACAAAAACCAAAATATTTTTATCCCACACTTTTAAATAAAAAAGCAAATGTAATAAAATTTTCTTTTGTGAATGGAAAGAATTAAACTTTCTTTCCATTCACAAAAGAAATTATTTTTTGCGTGAATCTACCCCAGTGGCTATAGGTTCGAGTTAGTATAGCTGCATGTTAATTAAAATAAGCTCTTTATATTCCCAAATTTAGGTAATACCTTGGGAAATACCGTAAAATCAACAGCAAAAAATCTAATCTAATCTGAATTTGAAATTTGTAAGTAACATTTTAAACAATTTTTGCTTTATCTTGATTTCGTCATTGCAGCAAGCGAGATTTATAATATGCTAAATGCCGTCTGTACCACACGAACAACTATCTATGTAGATGAGGTAATAATAACGAGCCCACCTCCCTGAGCCCTGCGCCCGTTGGGAGTTTTAAATTACTCTTTGCACAGGAGAATGTGCTGAACCTACCTGTAGTGTAAAAGGCTAGTGTAAAATGCAACACATTATGAGAAAATTGAGAATGTACCTGGATAAGTATGTAATGATCTTACAGTAGGTACATGAAACTGTGACAGAAAAAGGTCAGATAACCCAACACGGGCGGTTAGCCAAATTACTTAAAATTAAGACAGCAATAAAGTGTTTATTGTCTTAGATTAAAAACTAAAAATGTTTGCAGTTCTACCTGATCCTATTAAGCTCAATATGTTATTATTATACTTCGAACATGACTTGCGAAATCAATATAAAAAAAAAATACTTTGGATTTGGCGTATAGTATCTTAGACGCAATAATAATTTTCTTACTACACAAGACAGACTACAACAGTGATAACAGACTTTCCCATGTACATGAATAAGATACAATCTGCTTATCACGACAAATTAGACATAGATTTTTTATACAAATCATCAAATCAAAGTAAAGATGAAATAACAGGCAATCCAATTGTTTATAAAAAAAACTGGCTACAATATTTGGTATGCAGATAGTAAGAATACACTATGGGACAAAATAGTTTATAAAGTTATTGAAGAGCGAAGATCTGGCAATTTGCATTATTATTTTCGTTGATCTGACCTAACTAATAGAAAATGTAAAGCCGTAATGACGTAACTAGTATTTGAATAGGAGTGCTCGTTATACTAGATACCGTTCTTATAGTATCACTAGGTAATACAATTTCGCGAGATTTTGGCGAAGTTGAGATTGATATATCCAATCTCGCGAAATCTCGCCATTTACGAGATTTTTTTTACAAATTGTCACAATAATATGATTTTGTTAGATAAATAATAAGTTTGATGTAATATTAATTATCATTTTTTTATTACAAATGATCAGTCTTATTATCTAAGAAAATAAAGATTAGTTTATCAAAGGTTTGGAAGTAGCTTCGCAAAAAGCATAAGTATTAAAAGTATCGTCTGACAGCTCTTTCAGCTTCTACACTACTACTACTAACAGAGACTACAGACCGCAAAAACATGTCCGCAAAATGTAAGTTCTCCCTTGGCTTCATAAAATAGATCCATTTCTTTTTAATGAATGACTCCAACAAATTAGCATATGTGATTGCACTCTCTTTTGGCTTTACAATTGCAGTCAAAGATTCTTGAAGTTCTTCCTGTACTGAAATGCTTCTTCCGTTCGGCTTATTATTCCCAGAAAGGAGATTGCTCAGCTTCCATACAAGTTTGGCCTAAAACCCAATAATCATGAAAAATTGTTTCATATATTCGAAATTATATATAAATTTCTGTAGAAACGAATATTATTGACGGAAACCCCTGAGAACTTCTATAAACCATATAAACTGAATGATTTTGAGATTATGTTTGCAAACAAACATAGGTATTAAAATAATAAAAAACAAATAAGTTATATAGCAAACTAGGGAAATCAAACCAAGTACCGAAATTATGTATTAGATTCAGGTATATAAAGCATGTAGAATTAGGTAGTTGCCTGTTTTGAAAGTTAATGTTATGCATTAACTTTCAAAACAGGCAACTACCTAGTAGAGTAACTTTTAAAATCAGGTATCATCTATGCATTTCCGGTTATAATAAGGTTCTCTTTGACAGAAACTATGTAATATTTGTGAATGAGCCACAGATTAGGGAGAATTTTTAAACTCTCGTTAACTAAAGAAAGCTTATTATTTTTGTTATGTTTATATTATAACCATATTTTAGATTTTTAGTGTATCACACCTTATAATGTGTTTATGGAGGTGTTTGGCGAAAAATGTATGGCAATAGACTTTATGATGTCGCCTACCATCTATAATATTTGTCTTAGCACATTTGTATGTAGTAAAAATTATAATATAGTTGTGGGTATTAATACCACAGTGTAATAAAAAAAGTTTTATTTTATCGATCTTTACAAAATAGATTTGTTTTGATGTTATATAAACCACTTCGATCAGTCTTTGGCTTAATGTTACTACACCCATAGCCATTAAAAATAATTCGTATGTTTTCCAAACCGGTAAAATTAAATTTTTTAAATGAATATATTATACAAAGGTATAAATTACGCCAAGAATTACCATATATGTCAATATTTTTGTGCATTTGGGCCAATTTGAGCATCTCCTTTAAGAAGAAATTCGCGCGTCGCTGTCAGTCAGTTCGCGCTCCTGCGCGCTACAAGAAACATATACCCGTATAGACTCCTGTGCAATCTCGTTAATTTCGCGAGAAATCGTCCAATTTTTGGTCGCGATTAATCTCGGTAAATATGGCTGAGATCTCGTTCTCGAGACATTGCATTCCCTAGGTATCACTGCATGTTTGATTTCCCAGTCCCACCAGAAAGTGATCCAACATATGCATATAAATTAATAAGAAAAAATGTAAAATAACAAGCAAAATTGTGTAAAACCATAAAGTGTATAGTATCGTAGTAAAAATTTATTGTCCAAATCAGTCAAGTTGAACATTTTTCAAGCTTATCCTTGGGCGGAAACGGGAGTCGGACTCCGGAAACATGGCTTTTCGTAACCTTCGTGTTGATGCAGCCGAGATTCAAGTCAAAAATCATGCACGAGACATTCCTTTATGTAGAATGGTATTTTTTTAATATGAATGAGATTTAGCAGTTAAATACTTCAAAAATAAAAATATAACTATAAATGAGGATGGTTTAAAACATATGAGTAAAGCATGAACACCATGGTATAAATAACAATTGCAAGACACCGAGACTGAAAGAAAAGAGTTGCTGGAACGCAAAATGTAAAAATCAATACCTCTTTCTGTGTTATGTGATCAATACATTAAAAAACAAAATACAATTTTGCAATAAAAATAATGATATTTAGTTATCATAATTAGTATTGAGTTGCACATTAAATATCGTAGAGCAGGAAGTAGCTTTGTGCAAAGCAATACTTATAAGTTAAATTGATTGAGCATTTAGGTGGTAAAGTATGTGATGTGATACAACTACAACAGACCAACATGCTTTTACAAGTATTAAAAGTAAAGTAGAAAAGTAGCTTACTTTAGTTAAACATGAAATCAATTAATATAATGAGTAAGAATTTGCAGAACATGATAACCTACACAAATAATAAATAAAAATGGCTTCAACAAAACATGAACGGAAGAATTTTCAATAAATTCTCTAAAATGACACTTATTTCCGATATTGAATAAAGTTACCGTTCATTAAATAACTTGACTGGGCTGGCAGGCACGCCTTCGGGAGAAGCGATAACGATACTTTAATTTAAATTTGCTATTGATGTGTTCTTGGTCATTGACATTACTAAGGAGTAATCAAATTAAATAAAATCAATGAAATGTAAGTGAGGGAAAGACGTCCAATCTCAGTTAACTTTCTAGCTCCTGATATTTGAGCATTAGGCAAAATTACAGCAAGCTACATTGCTGCAATAAAAGACCAAGGCGTCTCCATACATTGCTCCACTACTAATGTGTGTAGCCGAGGTCGACGACAAGATGAGGGGGCAAGGGGCAAGAGGGAGTAAAGTAACCAAAGTCCTCAAATTAAAATAGTTATAAGACCGATACAGACATGAAACAAATCATTAATTCTAATGCAGAGCAGAACGACTCATACGAAAACGGCCTTCTTGGCAAGATTTTATTGGTAAAAATTTAATTTACTTTGCTTGATTCAAAGTCGTTCTGTTCTGCATTAGAATACATGATTTGTTATTGTGTCTACAAAAATACATACATACAGAGACTGATAAACACACACATACATGAAAAAAGATCCTAGTTTAACAACCCTTGTACCGATATAAATGTATTTTTAGGGTTCCGTACCTCAAAAAGAAAAAACGGAACCCTTATAGGATCACTTTGTTGTCCGTCCGTCTGTCAAGACCGTTTTTCTCAGGAACGCGTGGAGGTATCAAACTGAAATTCATTGCTAATACTCAGGTCTACTGTCCCTTGGAGCTGTGAAAACATCAAACTTCTAAGCCCAAGCAAACAAAAGATACAGCCGTTAATGCCGCAAATATCATCATTCGAAACTCGCACGGGAATCAAAACCTACATGGTCCCGTGAACTTACAATCTTAAAATTTGGTAGAAAGTAACCTCTTATAGTAGCTTATATAGTACAGATAAAGGAAAAATGGCGAAAACCGTAAATTTTTAGTTACATCATATAATACAAAATATTTTTGAAAATTCAGGTTTGTACGGAACCCTCGGTGCGAGAGTCCGACTCGCACTTGGCCGGTTTTTTGTATTTTTCCTGATCATGATCCACCTATATTTTTTATTTTAATTATTCTTTGCAACCCTCACTTTGGGTCGATAGTGGCATATCCTTTCCATACTAACCTACACTTACAAAAAAAAAATTGCTTCTTCGACCGTAGTGCTAAC